ACAGATACCCCATTTGCACTTGTAGCACAGGAAAACAATTATCTTACATACCAGATACAGACAGTCAAACAACTCACTAAACGGAGATATTTTTGAGTAAATATTTTTGACAGACAGACATGCGATTAGGAGAAAATGTTCATAATTGGGTTCTTTGATGAAGTATGACAGGTATTGATTCATGACATTTGAAGAGCAGTTGCAGCTCTAATGATAAAAAATCATATACATTAGAACGCCGTCATGTCGATCCTAGTTGTGTGGGCCTGATTAACCGGTTCATTATTATTTTGACCTCTGATAAAGTCGAATCGGACTATCGAATTTCGGTTGTCTCGATCTTATCTTGTAGTGCCAAATGAAAATGCTAGCAGACAATTGATCTGATACGACGAACTGAAAATATATGAACATTCCGATTTGTACTGTAATTTACTTTAGTTCACTAACGTCACCATTCCTTAAGTGAGTGAGTGAGTTTGTTTTTACGCCGCTTTTAGCAATATTCCAGCAATATCACGGCGGGGGACACTTGAAATGGGCTTCACACATTGTACCCATGTCGGGAATCGAACCCGGGTCTTCGGCGTGACGAGCGAACGCTTTAACCACTAGGCTACCCGACCGCCCCCCATTCCTAAAGTGTTATGATGTCTTTGATAATATGTGTGTGGGCGTGTTGAATGCTCGGATAAGACGAATGTTTTCTCAGATTATTTCGAGTTCGACACAAAGGTGTATGAAAAAATCACTGACATAATACTTGAGTCTACAGATGATTCCTCCTTATACGTTTGATGTCATGATAAAACTGCAGATATAACATGTGACTTTGTTATCGCGATCCATGTGTATCAGTTTGGTCAAATCATGAACGAAGGGTGTCTTTTATGTTCGGTGTATTTTGTTCTTACAACTTGCGTTGCAAATTTTTTTTTCAACCAATCACTGATTGTGAATACCACCATAATGAAAGTACACGTACTGTGTGTTTCGCTTGTGACAAGATGCTCCTCAGACAAGTATCTACTACAAACACTAATAGACCCGTGAAGATCCGGGGTAGAATAGGTCTTCGGCAACCCATGCTTGCCGTAAAATGCGACTATGCTTGTCGTAAGAGGCGACTAACGGGATCGGATGGTCAGACTTGCTGACTTGGTTGATGCATGTCATCGTATCCCAATTGCGTGGTTCGATGTTCATGATATCAATCACTGGATTGTCTGGTCCAGACTCGATTATTTACAGACCGCCGTCATACAGCTCGTTTATTGCTAAGTGCGGCGTAAAACAACAAACCAACCAACCAACAAACACTAATACCTGGTTGACATTTAAATAAAGTTCGTAAATGCATCGTCAATAAAGACTTAACGATTGGTTGAAGTATCGATGGATTGAAAGTGTCCATGATCAGACAGCAAAAAATCAATGACAAACACTCCGAAAATGTCCATGGTTGACATTTACACAAGCCATAGTTTCGATAAATGAAATGTGTTAAACAACAAACATACAAACCAACAAAAAATATGAGTAAAATATTATGTGGGTAAGCTCACTTCATCTGCGTTGTGTTTCTGTTAATTTACACTGAATGAAGCGTCGTACAATCCTTCCTATCTATTCAGTACAATCACTTTGTATAATGATGCCTTTCAGCACTGTCAGATAGTTCGGACGCCTCTTTCAGTGACGTCTACAAAATGCTGCCATCTCTCTCCTTTGGTAGAGACTTCCACAGTTATATTTGTTTCAGGAAAATAGTGAAAGACACAGGTAGTATACAGGATTTTAGGTCACTGATTCGAGAATGTTATTGGTATGGTGTTACGCCCGTGTGTTCAGTATATTGATACTGTAACTGTGAAACTGTGAAACTTGACTGTAGCGTTCCCACTAGTCCTGCGCCATGACTGTGGAATATATATATATATTTTCTTTTCTAAAAGCCTAGGTAAGTCTAGATCAAACTAAACCAAGTCTAGTTTCCTTCATTCCACAACAGAAGAGGGAAGGTTCTTTTGTAGAAAAAAATAAATTTATTTTAAAGAAATGTTCCCACTGAAATCACTGATATTAACAAATGTGAGGTTTAACGAATCAGTGCGCAGGGTTGACTGAGTAATGTCACTGTCTATTCATATACGCGTTCCCGGTAGCAACTGTCCTGAAAGAAGGCTTTCCGAATTAGCGGCGTCCAGTATAAAGAGGGTTTCTCTGTCTCCCTGTCACATGACACTCTGTTTGGATGAATGAAACATTCATGATAATATCAGGGATAGAGTGTACCGAACTGTATGGGTGCTCACATACAGTATCGGGTTTTTGTGTCGCTGAGGCGTGACAGAAACCTATGACAGAGGGTTCGAATCCCAGATTTGCCCTGAATATGTTTCTGGGTTTGTCAGCACCAAACCCGTGAGTTCACCAAAGTTGTAAACGTCTAAGACCTGCACTTCGGACTTTCCTTCCACTCCGAACTGACACGATGTATTATAACTGAAATACCGTTCTGCAGTACAGCGTTAAACTCACTCACTCACTCACTGAATTACTTTTTCGCGGAAACAAAGCATAACTGTTCAACTGGCAATCATTCAATCAAGTTATCATATAAATGTATTCAAAATTTACTTTGAATTTGAGCCAAATCGTATTTGCATTCTAAAATATTTTATGGAAACAATTATATGAAAATATTGTGGCGTTCTTTACAATAATTTAATGAATAGTGTTTAGCAATGTAAAGCTTAAAAGGAAATTATGGGTGGATGGTAACCACTGACATTTATACTCACTCAAAAAGTATAAAATTCAATAAATATGCATCTATTCTGTACCAGTGAACATCCGGGTTAGAATAGGTTTTCAGCAACCCATGCTTGTCATAGGATACGATTATCTTGACGTTAGAGGCGACTAACGGGATTGGGTGGTCAGGATCGCTGACTTTACTGATGCAATTGCGTAGATCGATGTTCATGGTGTCAATCACTGGATTGTCTGGTCCAGACTCGATTATTTACAGACCGCCGTCATATAGCAGGAATATTGCTGAGTGCGGCGTTAAACAACAACCAACCAACAAACCACTTTCAGTTCTTTTGCGTTTGTGATTAAAATTCCTTTCACCACCACAGCACAGATCCCCAACACACTTTACTTGACAAAGAGGAATCCAATTCCTAAGATCAGAGTGTTCTGTTTGACTCGATTATTTACAGACCACCGTCACATACTGGACTATTGCTGAGTGCGACGTTAAACAACAAACACAACTTTTATTCTGAAATAAATGCATCTTATAATACATATTCATATCAAAGACATCTCAAATTTAAGGTTTAAGGTCGTACCATTTTATTTGTTGGGAGCATGATACTCACACACAATGATTGTTTAGTACTTTCGTTTAACCGTAAAAAGCGCTTTCGGAATGCCACGGCTCGCTGAACATCAATGTCTACTGGCCGTGGGTATGCTGCATTAGATGACGCAAAACGAAGTTCCCAGACATTTTAATGTTCATCGAGACACACTATCATCTCTGTGGAGACATCTCTGTGGAGACATCTCTGTGGAGACCTTATCCATAGCAGTGCAATACTTTTGGCCGGTCGTCCACGAGTGATGTCACTTCAAGAAGACAATTATATTCGGTTGGTGCATACACGGTATTGATATCAAACTACTACATTAACAGTTTGGAGAAGTTGAGATCAATTAGTGGCAGAACCGCACACAACCGGTCGGGGAAGCACAACATCTGGCCCCGACGTACAGCAATACGCCAAAGTTTGTTTCCACGTCACTGTCAGGCACGCCCGGGGGCACGGGTGGCCCAGTCGTCTAAAGCGCCGCGATTCGCTGTGAAGAGTTGCGTCCCTTGGGTACGCCAGAAACCTATGATTGTGGGTTCGAATCCCGGTTCGCCCCGATTATGTTTCTAGGTTTGTCAGCACCATACCCGTGCTCGTGGGTTTCACCAAAGTCGTAAACGTCTGGGACCTGCATCACTTCGGGCTTTCCTCCCACATTAAGCTGACACGCCGTGATATAACTGGAATACTGTTAAAAGCGGCGTTAAACACAACTTACTCACTCACTCACTCAGGCACGCCCAGCTTGGTGTAGACATCATCTGAGGTTCGGGAGACAAGACTGGGACGGTATACTGTTTACAGATGAGTCCAGGTTTCTCATGTACAGCTCTGATGGTCGTGCAGCGGTCTACAGGCGACGCTAGCCTTTACAGGTCTTTAGCGACGCTTGCGTTACTCAACGTCGTCAGCAGATTTTGATGGTGGAAGTGTAATGGTATGGTATGGGTGGCATCCCAACTTATGAGAGAACACTACTCATCATTGTAAATGGAAATTTGAATGGCGTTCGCTGCCGGGACGAATTCGTTCGAGATCATGTTCTATCCTTTGTACAAATGTAGGGTCGTAACGTCACGTTGCGGCAGGATAATGTCCGCCCGCACGTTGCACGTGTTGTAAGACTTCTTGAGGCAGCATAACATTGCTGTACTGTCATAGCCGACTGTTTCACCAGACCTCTCCCCCATAGAACATGTCTGGGATGAGATAGAATAACGCCTACGACAGGACCAGAACCACCCGGTATTGCTAGCTCAGTTAGACCAGTCTTTGGTTGACATTTGGAACCACATCCCCCAGGCTGTTTTCCATCATCTAGTATCTTCGCCTTTATCACACCTGTTTTTGACATTGTTAATTGAGTTGTTACACCCCCCCCCCCCCCCCCCCCCCCCCTCTCCGACCTTTTCTATGGCGTGTAACTCTCTCAACTGTTATGGGTTTTGTAAATGAATTTGTATGATAAAAGATTGATGAGACACACGACCAAATATTATGTTGTTATTTTCAATAACATAACATTTACAACGCTTTATATGAAGCACCGCTACGTTTTTTCAGCAGTATGTATTTACGTGTAACGTTAACAATGAAATACTTCCTTATCAACAGGTAGTGTGACCAGTATGGCTGGGCCAATGGCAGCGCAGTGGGGTCAACAACCCACTGATAACCTTTCAACCCTAGTTGACCCCGACCTTAATGAAGTGATAGGCATCCTACATCAACGTTTTCAAAATCAACATATATACGTAAGTATCAAAATCAGATTGCTTCTTGTATTAATTACCTTGGTATGTACCATCAACCCTGAGAGGGGCTTATTCTCGTACAGTTTCAGTGAGTGAGTATGGTTTTCACCGCTTTAAACCATATTTCAAATACCGTATTCGACGTAATAAGCGCCCATGGTCCTCTCAAAATTAGAAATAGGGGGCTCTTATTAGAATATTATTTTGGTGAAAAAAACAGAGTTGAAAAATCGTAAATTTCGTGGTTTATGCTGACAGCCTGAAACGTTTACATACGACAGATATATTTTTCCAGAATTTAATTGCCCATAATTGAGGGTGCATACAACACGAGTGCGCATTATACATGAATAAAGATGTCTTGTATACATTGATCAATCGGAAGGGGTCCTAACTGGGATCGCGCACCGTGGGCACTTATTAGAGCGGAGCGCTTATTACGTCGAATACGGTATATCACGGCGGGGGAACACTGGAAAATGGGCTTCACACATTGTACCCATGTGGGGAATCGAAACCGCGGCCCAATACAGTTTCAGATGAAAGCTGGTGGTCGTAGAGATGGAATCACGGTATCATAAAGCCGTTCTTAAATTCCACATCCTTCGTTGGTACAAATCCGCCATATTTACGATTGATTTACTCCTTATTGTTGGTCTGTTTCACAAAACAGCAATACAACTGACGTATCTTGATACAAGCCTGCAATATAAACGAGGAAAGCTATTTTCATTCCTGAGGTAGTGATATTACGTCTACATCTACCGTCACAGTAATCGGGTTCACTCGGAGTATTCCGATGCTTACCTATACTTGGAGCAGCAATGGAGGAGTGATATCGCATGGTTTCACTGCAAACCGTGTAACGCCATATCCGCCGCATGTGTTTCGCGTAACGCGACCCTGTTTTTGAAGACAGCTTAATCTAGTAATTTCTAGAAGTTAGGTATACACAGAAAACTGAAACAATTTGAACGTTTCCCGACTCCCTGCCGTTAGTCTTGAATCACGATATAGTCACGTGTCCAAAACTGGTTCCAATATGGATTCCTGCCTTTGCTGGCCGAGGTCATTATGGACTTTAGACGAGCCGAGTGCCTTGTAGGTAATTTCATTCGTCAAATCTCGCCCCTTTCCGAATTGACTCGGAATGACACGATTGCTGACTATCAACAAACGACTCCACAATTTTAAAACTCGCTATGTTGATCAATAATAATCTCGTGGAGGGACATTTATCTGCAATAGAGTTTGACACCCTACGAGAAAGTAACTGTGATATATATTTTTCACTGTTGCGATCTGCCTTCCAACAATCGGAAGAAGGAATTATTCACGGAGCGCCATCCCAACTTATCAGTAACCCCTTTTCGTAACCGCAAATTGACGATCGTTGTCAGATTGAATTTACCCCTGGCCTTAGGATTCTCATTACCCCCGTGGTTTAGATACAGGTCGTAAGATACTAAATCCGTACGTCACACGTGTTTCGTACACGGTTGACCTCGTTTTATTCGTTTTGATTGGATAACCATGACCTCTGTCTCACCGGAACTACTTTATTCATTCATAAAAAATCGCGAGACGTCATTCTATTTGCAACTACAATGCAGATCTGAAGCAATCCCATGAAAGCGAGAGACATTTACACACACTTTACTCAAGCAAACAAGATAGTCATACGCATCAACTTCGCACTGCATTCTGTATTAGTTGTGCACAGAACTACTACAGACATTATATAATCGAGCTGTATCAATTTGCAATGTACTACTCGCCATTGATAGATCGGGGGTCCCTATGAGCGCGACGCACCCAACCACTTTCTCGACTTTCAATTTGATTTAACATATAAGGATAAGCGTGGTGAAATGAAATCAGCTTTAACTATGTGGGTGTATATCTAGACCTACGTTGGATGCTCTGGTTGTGCCATCAGTGTCCCCTTCGACGCGTGTTTTGTAGCCTTGTGTCGTGAGGTGTTTGTTCATGACTAAACATACACGACTGCACACCAGATCACTCAAAACGAAGAGTTCCGATACAAATCATTAAAAAACTCCATTGCTGTAAATCTGACTTCTGAGTTTGTGGCCAAGAACATCCCAAATGCGAACAATAACATTCCCTAGCGTGAAACGCTGTGAGTAGATCACGGTTGTCTTTTCATATTCCGACGAATATTTATTCTTATATGTATAATATATATGTATGCTTTCGCTCGGTCAGATACCATAGAAAGTCCACTCGTGTCGTAAAGACGGTATCTAACGAGAATATTTGTAGTATCCTCTATATACTGTACCTACGAAATATAGTAAACAAGGTTAGTTTGGTGTTTGCAAGAAACCGACACTTACGGAAGTCTTACCATTGCTTTGCGAATTCGTTTTATATCCTGAAGGCGTTTCATTGTAGTGTTCAGGTATATTGGACTTATGTATGGTATTATGAAATATGTGCTATTTTAATTGAAGGAATATGTTCACAAATATGTTTATGAATTATGCAGCCAAGGGCCTTTTCCCGGCCTACGATAGAACACCGAGCACACAAGCTTTGAATAATTGATAAGCCTATTTTATATTCCCACAGACAACAATCGGAGATATCCTCTTGTCCGTGAACCCACAACAGACGATCCCTCTCTATGGCTCGCGGGTAGGTCCTGTTGGAAGGAAGGAGGTACACCATGTATTTAGGTTACTATAGATGCTGCAGCATGTTGCCTTGAAGACAAGTAAAAGGCAACTCATTGTTTATCGTACTGGGCTCCGTTCTACAAAGCGGCAAGGGCCCCGTTTCACAAAGCAATCTAAGCGTTACGATGATCTTAAGCCTAGTATGTTTAAGTATGGGAGTTAAGATCGCTTTCCACATAGCTATCGTAACGCGCATACTTAACATGCCTATTACGGAAGTCATTGCGCTAAGGTCGCTTTGTGGAACGAACTCCTGCTCAACAAGTGATAAACGATATCCACAGTCAATGAAGCGTCAATTTGTGATGTATTGAACGCATCTAATTCTCACCGAAACATCGGCGTTTCATGCTTACAATCGTTGGACTTTATTGTTTTGTGTGAATTGGAGTGATAATCTAATCCATGAATTCTGAAACATCAACGGTTGGTGCTACAGGTTGGAGATTTCTACAAAGATGTGCCGTCCGCCCTGTCTCAGCAGCCTCACATCTTCATGACAGCATGTCGCGCCCATCGCTACCTTCAGATACACAACACTGACCAGGCTATTGTTTTGTCAGGGGAAAACGGGTCAGGTGAGTCCATGTCGCGCCCACCGCTACCTTCAGAAACACAACACAGACCAGGCTATTGTTTTGTCAGGGGAAAACGGGTCAGGTGAGTCCATGTCGCGCCCACCGCTACCTTCAGAGACACAACACAGACCAGGCTATTGTTTTGTCAGGGGAAAACGGGTCAGGTGAGTCCATGTCGCGCCCATCGCTACCTTCAGATACACGACACAGACCAGGCTATTGTTTTGTCAGGGGAGAACGGGTCAGGTGAGTCCATGTCCCGCCCACCGCTACCTTCAGATACACAACGCAGACCAGGTTATTGTTTTGTCAGGGGAGAACGGGTCAGGTGAGTCCGTATCACACCCATCGCTTCCTTCAGATTCATAACAAAAACCAGATTAGTATCATTTCTGGGAAAAAAACGAGTCAGGTGTTCATGTAGTTTTCCAACGCCATCGTCTGTCATGTTCTTAAAATGCGCTAAACATGTTATTACACAAGTGAATCATAAACAAGCGTTGAAGAAGAAGTTGAAGAAATGAAATTATAATAATTCAATGTCTTAACCCATTCCAGGAAAAACAGAAGCTGTGAAAATCCTAGTTTCCCAATTCGGGCGCCTGTCGACAGTCGGGTCACAGGATCCTCCACAGAGCGATGTAGCCAGTCTCCTGACCGAGGTTCACATATTTCGTTTATATAAAGGTTAGGGCACGAGGACCTGGTGCCGAGGATGCAAACTAACCATTTCAACGATGAAATACCAGGGGTCCGAGTGCTCTAACCTATTTATTCATAAAAAATCGATGCTAGAAATAATGATGTATTCGCTTAATTCACTTTCAACCACACATGAGCCATCATGGTATATACTTTCTTGGCTTTGAAGGCTCTGTATTTGATTGCTCAAGGGTGAACGTATGGGGCACTTTTACTCGATACTGTCAACTCAGCTCTTGTTGGATTATTTGGAAAACCAGACATTTCACATCTTCCCGAGGCAAGAGAGTTAACTGACTATAAAAGTCCAGTGGAAACTGGACTTTTAAAGTCAGTTAACTCTCTTGCCTCGGAAAGATGGACATTTCACTGCATATGATTTGTTTTCAGTGGTGAACATATGTAAGAAATCTTTATTCTTTTAAATTTTATCTACGTTTTTGTCTTAAAACATTATAACATTTCAAAATGATTTTAACATTTATTTCAAATGACCGACTAATTAACATATGCAGGCAATGTCCTTGTTGGAAGAGTTTGGCAACGCGGACGTCGGTATCAACCGCAACTCCAGCAGACACGGCAAGATGGTGGAACTCGCGTGGGATGACGGGAAGCTAGTCGGAGGTATCACGTGATTTTAACGTTGAAACGTCTTTGAGGAAGGAAATATCCCTTTTACACAATTTGCAAGTTAAAGACGATACCACGCTGAACTCGGTGGTGATTGCGCAAGTGATACGTAAATTGAAGCATAACATCCCTCAAATTCCCATCCAAGTATTATGAAACAGTAATTATCTGCTCTTGTGTTTCATAGCCGAAATAATGGTTTTGGGTCTGGAAAAGAACCGGGTGATGTTCTCAGAAGACGGGGAAAAGAATTTCCATGTTTTCTACAGAATGTTGGTTGGATTTGATCAGGAAATGCGAACACGGCATAGACACAATCAGTCCTACAGGTGAGTGAGTGAGTGAGTGAGTTGGTGAGTGAGTGAGTGAGTGATCGGGTAGGTGTGTGGGTGTGTGGGGAGGAAAGTAATGCTTAATGGCGCATCAGGATCAACTCTTCACCGTGATAAATGTATATCATTGTTCTACGTTGAACTTGATAAGATTGAAAATGAAGTCCCACAGGTAAAGTAAATACCGTTCTGACCTTTGACTATGATGAATGACGTTTCCCATGCACACATGTTTTTTTCAAAAACAAGATTGGTTTCTCAAATCCTGTCAAATTGTAACACGATTCGCAACGTTCGGATGCTAACGATTACCAAGAGGACAAAGAAAAATACATTGTATGTCTATCACTTACATCTTGCCCAAAGAAAAAGCTTTTTTATTGTGCATCACACCCACAGTACGTCCACAGGAATATTCTGTATACCGCCCACCTTCTAATCAATGCGAAGGTTGCATCGAAAAAGGTTCATGACTTGCTTCTGATATCAAATCGATTTACAGTTTTAAATTCCAACCTTTCTTCGATAGACTAATATATATCTTTTCTTGGCAGATGTAAGCATCAGATAGTCGTTAGAATGTAGTTGTGATAGGTTTTATCCTTGGAAGAAATGTGCTTTCTCCTGGTCGTTCAGTATATAATTGCCATGGAAATCTTATATGAAGCAAATTACGCTGTTTTTCTGCAAAACATATGTTTCAACGACATGTATCTTATCCCTTGTGGCTGTTCTCGGGAGCACGTTGACTATAATTATAAAAAAGCTATAAAATTCGCTATGCAGAGTTTCGCGCCTTACGCATACCAGAAACCTATGATCCTGGGTTCGAATCCAAGATTCTCCTTAAGCATGTTTCTTTGATTGTCAGCACCATACCCGTGCTCGTGGGTTTCACCGAATTGGTAAACGTGTGAGACCTGCATCACTTCGGGCTTTCCTCCCACATCAAGCTGACACGCCGTGATAAAACTCAATGCAGCTTAAAACCAAACTCAGTCATTCTTAATTATTTTATAAATCTCCTATTCAGGATCCTCGAGCCCATTGATGGGGGGCAGATATACAGAGACATGGCTGATGCGGAAGACAACGAGGTCAAATACAGATACCTCCGCGAGTATCTCAACACACTCGGCATAGAACATCAGGTAACATAGAAGCGAAACGCTTCTAGATGTTTTAAACCACAATGGGACATCACTCGTCGTCAGTTCATGATGATATAAAATATTTTGTACTGTTTAAAGCGAAGCTTAATAAGTAAATATAGAATGTTGAATTATTGAGAACTTCAATTATTTGTTCCCTGGCCTTAGCTGGTAACCTATTCTAAAGAACCTACAGTGATTTCACCAACTAAATGTATTCAAAGTGGTCAGCCTTGTGTTATGTCTTCGAATATATACAGGTGGATAGAAATAAGAGTACACAAGGAATGACGGACTCAGTTACTCTATGTCACATAAGGTATAGATGTGTTCACAAAGGTACCTCGCAATCTCTGGATTTCATTGGGTACACTTATTATGAAAATTCCTTATGTAACCGTCCCATAGTTCTTTCTATGAGTATATATATGATAGAATCGATGTATAGAAACAAAGCTAATGGCTGATCTATTACCTCTTCTATTTCGAAACTCTCGATGTTTTTTCAATTCCCGCATCTTATTCGACATAAGGATGGTATGATACAGTTGATTAAAAAACGTAATACTACACTAGTGTGTGTGAAGGAACGTCTGCAACACATAGTTGTTTATAATACTCAGTGTCATATTGTATATTTATTTACTTTTTTTAATGTCATAAGTATCTCGCATTTCAGACCATTTTCAGAATTCCATGGAAGGATATATCCACAGTAGTTTGTAAAAGAGGCTATGATGAGGATCGATTAATACAGGCATGACTCGGCTTGGTGTGTGTTATCGTACTCAGTCGTTGGGTCGTTTCTTTTGCAATTAACCACCAGCTAAACTCGATTATTTACAGCCTTGTGGATATAATTGGGCATGAAATAATTCACTTACTTGATTCACCTGTTTAGACATTCCGATCTGGCCGACAGACAGCAGGGACCGCCATATTTGAAGTTTTGAGTGCATTGTTGCATCTTGGGAACATTCATTTCGCGCCAGATCCGGAATCAGATTCAGCTTTTGTGGCAAACCAGGCGGAAGTTGAGGCAGGTGAGACGTCAGAGAATGTTTGAAAAGTACAATAAATTACGTTTATAACGAACACGCTTATAACGAACTGGCGGATATAACAAACTGTTTTTTGTCCCAGCCATTTGCTGTATATATTTTTATCGCGAGTTACGGTTATAACGAACTAAAATAAGTGGACTCTTTGAGTTCGTTATAACCGTAGTTTACTGTAGTACAATTGAAAGCTGACGTTAAAACTGTCTACCAGTGTGATCTGTTAATTTGTTTTTTGATAGAAGTTATCCACGTTTCAACTATTTGTTTCCGACTGGAGAATATTAGAATATTAAGCTCATAAAGATATACATCTAGAATGTCATTGGAATGATGTTTTATATAGTTGTTGAAAATGTCGATTAATATATATATATATATATATATATATATATATATATATATATATATATATATATATATATATATATATATATATATATAAAATGTCGATTAATATATATATATATATATATAATGTCGATTTATATATATATATATATATATGGGGCGATCGGGTAGCCTAGTGGTTAAAGCGTTCGCTCGTCACGCCGAAGACCCGGGTTCGATTCCCAACATAGGTAAATTGTATGAAGCCCATTCCTGGTGTCCCCCGCCGTGATATTACTGGAACATTGCTAAAAGCGGCGTAAAACCAAACTCACTCACTCACTCTTCGGAGGAGACTTCAGATGCTTCCACTCCTATGACTGTTGAGTAGTCCCTGGCCGATAACGGTGAACCCAACACTCATCCATGGAGAAGATCAGTCGGTCAACAATCAGCTGAGCCTGCTTCGAAACAACGTGTATTTTCACGAGACACGCTGTACTTGTGTCGTTTCTGATCAGGAGTCGGAGGCCCTGGAACCTAGCATGCCCAGGTCATTCCTCAGAGTGTTCTCAACTCCTCGTGTCTTATTGTGGCTAGTCCTCGATCAGCCATTATCATATCGACTTTTTCTTAGTGAGGTCAGTTAAAGGTCTTCCTGGCTGTGTCATCTTCGAGGCGCTCTCTTCCACTCTAGAATTCCGCTGCCAACCTCTTAACAGTTGGAGAGGAAGGAGCATCATGACACATGTATAACAGCGCATTTGTCAAGTTTGTTCCTTTTCATCAACAGAAAATGGAATATCTTTTTGTTTGTTTGTTTGTTAAACGCCGCACTCAGCAATATTCCAGCTATATGACAGCGGTATGTAAATAAATCTAGTTTGGACCAGACAATCCAGAGATTGACATCACGAGCATTGATCGACGCATTTAGGATGCGTTGACATACATCAACCAATACGTGAGTCTGACCACCCGATCCCGTTAGTCGCCTTTTACGACAAGCATAGTGGCTTTTTTACGGCAAGCATGGGTGGCTGAAGACCTATTCTATCCCGGATCTTCACGGGTCTGTAATATGTTCAGAAGTCAGTTTTATGCATGCATACATATGCTGCCTGTATTTGGTAACAAATGCAGCCTTTAAGCAATGGATGTTTGGTTTGTTGTTTAACGCCACACTCGGCAATATTCCAGCTATATGACGGCGGTCTGTGAATAATCGAGTCTGGACCAGACAATCCAGTGATTAATGTCATGAGCATCGATCCACGCAATTGGGATCAATGACATGCATCAACCAAGTCAGCGAACCTGACCACCCGATCCCGTTAGTCGCCTTTTACGACAAGCATGGTCACCTTTTACGGCAAGCATGGGTTGCTGAAGACCTAAGCAATGGAAGTATTGTACTTAATATGTGCAAACTGTTACGTGTGCATTGTCCATCCTTCGTAGTTTGGCTCAAAACTTTTCAGCCTTCTCTCATACTATCTCCCCGAAGAACTTTAATTATCGAGTTGTACACACGCATGATAAGAACGTCTGCCGATGCCATTACCATCTAAACGTCGACTCTGTGATGTCGGCTTAGTAACAACCTAATCAACACGAAGGAGTCACTTCAAAACACATCCCTATGTCTACAGGCGATCACCTTCGCGCCCACATCATATATCATAATCACATTCGTCTGAAATTCCAAGGAATGAGGTGTCTCTTTTGAAGATTAGTTGTCCCCAGTAATAACACCAAGTGACGTCTCTCGGTTAGCGGTGCGTCAATTAACGCTTGGACTCGCGCGTTTCATGAGGAGATCTTTGAGTGACGTCACTGACGTCTTGCAGGATGTGTCCCAGACTGATATAACGTCCTTTATGTTGGAAGTGCCGAGTTAATTGAAAAAAGAAATAATACCATACTTTTTATCGTCATTTGATCGTCTAGCTTCACTGATCCCTGTAGGCAAGTATTTGGGTAATGGACAGATTTTTGAAACAAGGATGTATGTGTTGTGTATTTATGGATATTCTGAAGTTTATATCTAGCTGTCAAACATCTATTTTGTATACATTAATAGGGAACCTCACCCGAATGTCTTTTGATATCAAATATATCAACACGAGTTGATAAAAGTGGAAAACTCCGAGGCTTGCTGAATGTTGATATATTTCATATGATAAGACACGAGGGTGTCATTATTCCAACTTTTTCGGTTTGTAGACAGTAATAAGCAGTGTCTTAAGTGTAAAAGGTACTGCTAACAGTTTCAGTAGTTTCATTTGATTGTGACCTCATGGTAACCAATGACATCTCAATGGTCTGCAAAGCATTGTGATGTAATTTCATTGCAGCGATATCTACAATGTAGATATCGCTTGATCTCACCATAGCGATATCTCCTGTGGGAGCCAGTTTTGGATGATAAATCGCAGTTATTGCTGGTTTTTGGTGACTAACTTTAAATCAGGTCATTTTGTTAGCTGATAATTCTCTTTGCATAAGAATCGGATTTTTGACAAAATTAAATCCATAATCATAAGAATTTCGGCCAAAAGCAGAGTCGCTTGTACGATTGTACGATTCCGACTACATCACGAGCATTATGAATCACTATCAAATAGTGACGATACCAGGCGTTCTTGAGAAGGTGAGCGTATCCTGCCCCACCGATGGCACCAGTCACAAACACATGCAAAAGCAAGTCAAGTGTTCACACGTTGCCTCAGTTCAATCTCAGTTTCAGATATATAGATGACCCCATTTCTTTCCACAATGCCAAGACAAATGAGTTCACCTAGTGTATCCACCAAAGTTGAAACTAAAAACAATAACCGACATGCCACTTTTGGAGTCTTATCAGGATCCGTGCGTAGAAATTCAAAATAATGTCAGGCTGTACGACAAGAAGGAGGATTTCTATTTTCCAATCGTGAATTTTCTCTTCATGTTGCGCAACATCACATCAGCTCCAGCTTAAGGCGTCTACATCTCTCAATTGCTTAGAAACTTTAGAGCATGAGAAGTAGGTCTTCAGCAACCCATACTTGCCATAAAAGGCGACTATGCTTGTCGTAAGATACGACTAACGGGATCGGGTGGTCAGGTTCGCTGACTTGGTTGATGCATGTCATCGTATCCCAATTGCGTAGATCGATGCTCATGATGTCAATCACAGGACTGCGTGGTCCAGACTCGATTATTTACAGACCGTTGTCATATAGATGGGATGTTGCTGTGTGCGGCGCTAAACAACAAACGAACAAAATCATTTTATTCAAATTTCACGGACAAACTTACACCTTACTTCATACAAAATAGGCTTTTCCAAAAAAGGTTTCACCATCAAAATCTGGTTAAGTCATTCCACAATGTTTATGGTAGACATTCAGAGGAATTTACTTAACACTGATCCAATGTTATAACCCTACTTATGACGCAATTGCTATGAACCTTCGGTGACTGACGGTTGGTACGGGTAAAGTAGGACATGTTCCCTTTTCTCGAACACCTGGTGTTATCGCTCAACCATTCGTATTATTTTCCTCATTTTCTTGCCTCTCATACCCTATGGAATTTGATTCGGCAGATATTTGAGATTGATTATTCTTCGGCGTTGTCGTTTTGAATTAGCAAGATGTGCCTACATCTTAATAAAATACCATAATAATTGTATTCTGCAATTGAGAATTTCGGGTTTGCTAAGCGCTAAACATGTTACGACTCGTTTTAATTCTACTTAGAGCAAAAAAATGACTCAATTTCCATGTTTTGAAAATTCGGTTAAAAAGTGTGCATGTTTAAAGCCTTTCAGCGTTTCGTGTGATACAATCATTCACTTTTGATAATACGCCAGTCGTTTTAAAACTATGCCATATTTGCAAAATATTGTAAGGGTTCCATACAGATTGTTGGGAAGCATTTATATGAAATTGTCGAGTGAAATGCATTGATAAAATGCTTTAACATGTCAATGTTTACAAAAACATATTCCCTCAATTATGATCGCTGAAGGATGAACATAAGAATCAATATTCCATTTACGATCCAACACTTTTCGACATTCGCATTTACTTCATTTGTTATTTCTCCTTCTCGAGTTGGGTGCATGTGTGTCCTTATCATGGATACTATATATTGTACACTGGTTCGATAGGAAGCATATCATAAAAATATTAAAAAATATTCACTGTATATATGATAGTTTTATCGATACAAAGACCAATTGATACATTTAATATCACAATCCGATATGTATATGTAACCGATATAACATCGCAGGAACATCTTATAATAAAATCAACATATCGATCTATGCCTATTTGTTTCTGTTTATTTACATGGCTACAAACTATATCTATCTATCTATCTATCTGTCTATCTATCTATCTATATCTATATCTGTCTATCTATCTATCTATCTATCTATCTATCTATCTATCTATCTATCTATCTCTCTCTCTCTCTCTCTCTCTCTCTCTCTCTCTCTCTCTCTCTCTCTATATATATATATATATATAGTTTGTAGCCATGTAAATATATATTTTAGCAGAGTTCATTCAAGCTCTGTTTTCGTACAGTTAAATGCCGTCTCAACATTGATTATTTTAAGAATGACATTATATGGTAAAGATATTGCTGCATTTGTGTGTTGTGGTATCGGAAATATCCCTTATAAAGAATAAAAAGATGTATAATGTTGGTCATGTCTCGCACAATGCATGTTTTTATTCCTGATGAATTATATTTACGATACAGAGACACACTCGGCTTATAGGCTCTATTTCAGTTAGCAAATAGAAAACCAAAGTAGGTGACATAATAATAATAGGCTATTTATATTGCGAATATTTCCACACCACTCAGAGGCATGCTCAAAGCGCTATTTCTGAGGAAGTCATAATAACATTATCACTCACGTTCATACACATATATGACGCCGCCGTGGTCAATTGGATAGAGCGTCTGCCCTAGAAGGAGTGAGTGAGTGAGTGAGTATGGTTTTACGCCGCTTTTAGCAATATTCCAGCAATATCACGGCGGGGGACACCAGAAATGGGCTTCACACATTGTACCCATGTCGGGAATCGAACCCGGGTCTTCGGCGTGACGAGCGAACGCTTTAACCACTAGGCTACCCGACCGCCCCCTATAAGGAAGGAAGAGAGGAAGGACGATGGTTTGATTCCCTGGCAGCGTCATACCAAATGATGTTAAAAGATGGTACTTTGTACGTATGACGTAACTGAATTTTAAAGTGACGTCATTGCCGTTGTATCATCCTGAAGTGTGATTTCAGTTAATATTCATTCTCTTATATAATCAACAAAAACAGTTAGGGATCCCGAATATTTTTTGTGGATAGTTTTATGAAATTGGCTGCTCGGTCTTCACAACACAAAATATCCACAAGAATAATTATGACCCCTATCTTTTCGTGTCAAATATATTTAAACACACGACAATCACTTAATACAACCCTTATTATATTTATAAAAGTACATATGTGTAATTTATTTTTTAGCTGCCGAATTGTTGGGAGTTCAAGCGCAAGACATTTCCGGGATGTTGTTGACTCGCTATGGATATTCAGGAAGTAGGTGAAAATAATCATCATCATCATGACAATAGTCCATATACAAGCATACAGCTCGAGACCCAAAAAGCATGCTCAATGCACATGACATAACATTACCCATGTCAAGTGATCGGTGATGATGCATCCTTAGCTCCGAGGAGAATACAAGCTGATTTTTAGGAGCGAGGATATTTGCATTTACGTTGCCATCCCATCCTACCGGGTACCACCTGAGAGCGAGGTGAAGAGAAACGCATTGCGATAAGGTCGCTTACCTTAGGGGAATCAGGATGTTACATGGCCTGTGGTTCAGTGAGGTGTATCATCGAAGCCACGACATTTCATGAGACCAGGCAAGTTTGCCAAGAACGGTTACCCATCCAACTACTCTTCCCCGCCAGCGTTACTAAACTTCAACTGATTCGTGACCTTTGTGTTATTCACGGGACAACAATGCGTTTTAAAGTCTGAAGACAGCAAAAAACAAAATGTCTACCTGGTTTTCATGTATTACATAATGTGCCTTTTGGGGTGAATGTAAACTGACCACAGTCTAAATGTGCTTGCAAGTCATAAAAGCTAGTTCATGATCATTTGTTCGCTCATCCCATTTCCACCGTGATATGGCTGGAGTAATGCGAAAAACCGTGTAACTCACTCACTTCATCACTCACCAATTCATACGTGAACTACTCACTTACGAACCTTCATGAACTCATCCATGAACCCACTCACTCATGAGCATACTGAATCATGAACTCGCTCGCTCATGAACTTACTCATGAACTCACTCGCTCATGAACTTACTCATGAACTCACTCGCTCATGAACTTACTCATGAACTCACTCGCTCATGAACTTACGCATGAACTCACTTGCTCATGAACTTACTCATGAACTCACTCGCTCATGAACTTACGCATGAACACACTCGCTCATGCACTTACTCATGAACTCACTCGCTCATGAACTTACGCATGAACTCACTCGCTCATGAACTTACTCATGAACTCCCTCGCTCATGAACTTACTCATGAACTCACTCGCTCATGAACTTACTCATGAACTCACTCGCTCATGAACTTACTCATGAACTCACTTGCTCATGCACTTACTCATGAACTCACTCGCTCATGAACTTACTCATGAACTCCCTCGCTCATGAACTTACGCATGAACTCACTTGCTCATGAACTTACTCATGAACTCACTCGCTCATGAACTTACGCATGAACACACTCGCTCATGCACTTACTCATGAACTCACTCGCTCATGAACTTACGCATGAACTCACTTGCTCATGCACTTACTCATGAACTCACTCGCTCATGAACTTACTCATGAACTCCCTCGCTTATGAACTTACTCATGAACTCACTCGCTCATGAACTTACTCATGAACTCACTCGTACATGAACTAACACTCATGGAGTCATGAACACACTGACGCATGAACTCATTCATGAACCCGCCCACTTTTGAACTCAGTTTTCACCCATGAGGTCCCTTATCCCATGGTTGATCACGTATATCACCCGGAGGTTTTAGCCACGTGTTCCGGAAACCGTATATTACAAGGGTTAACTTAAGGTATCATACCAGCACGCACCTACAGGCATCTGTTATGTTGACGAATCCCACTTGTGACTCGAAAACAAATTAAAACTTAACATAAGTGAATAAATATACAAACACTTTTACAAATTTCAATTGCACTAACAATAATATTAGACGTTAGTGACATCTCCACCACAAGACGGGTGTACTGCAGCAACCTGCATATGTTTTATCTGGTTTAATTGACACAGTCGCTGCAATTAGCTGTGCAAAGTTGTGCCAGGGTGATCGTGCGTTCGAATACCATATTCGTGCTGATTCGTCCTTGATTTGTCAGCAACACACCGTTCGCGAGGGAAAACATGACTGGAAAAAGCCCATCACAGTTGTCACTTTGAACCTTTTTCTTTCTCAAAGCTGTTAGCTGTAAGCTGTAAAGAAAGAATGAATATTGTTTTACGCCGCATCTGCAATTTTCCAGCTAATTGCGGTGAGAAGTAGTGACATCTGGGAATCGAACCCCGCGACCAGCAGATCCTGTCAGCGATCATGCTGCACATAGATAGACGTCCAGCCGGGCCCTTGTAACCATATTGTGTACACTAAGTGCTGAGTCGTCCTTGATTTGTCAGCAACACACCGTTCGCGAGGGAAAACATGACTGGAGAACCTGCACCACAGGTGTCTCTTTGAGCCTGTTTCTTACATAAAGCTGTTATGCCCGGATATAACTAAAATATTGTCCGCTGGTAGGTTGCCGAGCAGTAAAGAATGAATGAATATTGTTTTTCGTCGCATCTGCAATTTTCCAGCTATTTGCGGTGAGAAGTACATGTAGAGACATCTGGGAATCAAACCCCGCGACCAGCAGATCCTGTCAGCGATCATGTTGCACATAGATAGACGTCCAGCCGGGCCCCTGTAACCATATTGTGTACACTAAGTGGATTTCGTCGCTGCTTATCAGTACGTGTGGTTATTTTTGTGTGCGCGCTATTATGTAATTGGTTGTGTAATTCGATTTTTATAATTTGTTGATATTGTCAGAGCAGTATCATTTTGTAAGCATTGAATTACATTAATAGACAATGTATATTAAAGTTGGAAAAATAGTAGGCCGAGATATTTACGCATGAGCTTTATGTGAGAGAATGATTTAGTTAACCTTTTATATCAGCAATACTGCAACCATATAGCGATACAAGAGAATAATTTGTAAATACATGTCGACAAAAAGGACTCACAGCAAAACAAACAAATATCTCCATGTTACTGGAAGGATTTTTTTAAATCAATATTTAAATATATAATAATTAAGACCTATAAATTAAAACCAGGCAATGACAACCAGCAACCAAAGCCAGACCGCATGACTGGGGACCTTGGGACTATTTTTCTACTTGTATGATTCCTCAAGTGATTTATGCCATCACGGCTACCAGTGGTCAGATGTCATCACGGCTACCAGTGGTCGGATGTCATCACGGCTACCAGTGGTCGGATGTCATCACGGCTACCAGTGGTCAGATGTCATCACGGCTACCAGTGGTCAGATGTCATCACGGCTACCAGTGGTCGGATGTCATTATAGCCAGATATTGTTACAACAAACATGACAACCAAGTGCTGAAACACTTGTCGACATCACGTACGTCCGAAGACCTTTATATACGAAGAAGCCGACCATTTCTAATTCTTCGCGAAGTCGTAGAACACACTCTGAAGTATCAGTGTTCTTATTAAACTTGACAACTGCTCAACACACTCGCTTTTTATATACAAACTCCGTCAACTGAAGAATTGTTTTACAACTGTTATTTCTGGTATAGAATGGTCACAACCAATACGTTTGATAACTCTCATTTTCCCAGTAGTGATATTTGTTTTGGAATTTTAAAAAAAGCTTGCTGTTGTTGATAGGCGTTTTTGGTATACGAATAGGAGAATTCCCATAGTATGGTATGAATAGGAACATCGCTGTCTCTCTTCCTTAAAATGAAGGTGTGCAAGCTGATCATGGTGCATGACCTCGATCGCTAAAGCAAGACCTATCCTTACCATTTACACATCAACCTCAACGTTAGATCCAATCGCAGTTCTATTATAAGGACGATGTCCTTTAAACCAGCTTGATGTAACCCATTGTGTCTAAACTCTCCCCAAAATCGCCTAAAATAAAAAAGCTAACATTTTATTGAAAATCGATTTGTCTACTGTAGACATATTTTCTAAAATAATTAGGAGATTGTGCTCGGGCACAGGGCTCTTGAGATTTGGTTAATTAGATGTGGAGTCCGTGCTCTCTTTCATCTGGTGGAAATATTCTATTGAAGTCTCAACTTTGACCGAGGTACACTACATTTCAAAAGTTCCTTCCCATATAACACAAAGTAGTGTCGTGATACGTTCATGCTAGTGCCGTGAAGATGCAGTGGCTCGAAAATGGCGCAACTGGTTGAATTGACGTTGTCAGTAAATGAGGTGTCGATAGACTTGAGTTATTCTATGTCCGAGATGTCTACGGCGTCAGTGACACTGGAATCCTGCATCAGTTACCACTCTGCTATCTGACGTGTTTTCAAGGTTGTTATTGTCCAGTTGCTGTAAACGTATAATACTGCAGAGCTCCAGATAAGCTGCGTATTTGCGTAAAATACGCATAAAAAATGCAGAAATACGCAGTAAAATCAAATCCAAGCGTATCAAATACGCAACGAACATTACAGATTCGCTACAAAAATAAAACTTGTGCGTATTATCAAAATATTGTGAAGTAACCCTGCGTATTCGATATACAAATCAGCATCTTATTTTGAAATTATAAACGGACATTCCGTCAACCTTGCCAAACTCCACGATGACAGTTACATCATGATCATTTGCCATCACACTTTCTTGTGGAAGTATCGTGGTATTTTTGAGTCCTATAAAGCTCTCGAACCCACACGACACCAATTTGCAGGGACTTGATGAATATTGTTTTTAAATATTTAACTTAAATACCCACATTGTGTAAAAACTAGTGGGTAACAGAAATTTGAATACCCAGATAGAATTACTGATACCCAATGATTTTAAAATGCATGGGTAAAATACCCACAGCACCAAAAGCTTATCTGGAGCTCTGAGTATACATTTGAAACCATGGCGGGTTCCTAATCTGTTATAGATAAGCTTATTCAAGGCAGAAATGTACTTACTATAACGTCATGCCGATAAGTGAGAGTCTTGGTGGCTGGTCAGCCATGATGACCTACAGATGCCCACTATATTTCCCTCTTACGACAACGTGAAGTTCTTTAGGATATCGTGAAGGTATCATATATGGTTACAGGTTATGATGGATCCTTGTCAGAGGTGATAGATGCATCTGGTATTGCTTAATATCACCCACCCAAGTAGCTATGGATTATAATCTCATACGACAAGCAATGGCTTTCTGGACCAATTCTACAACTGGACATATATGTTAACCCGCGATGCTTCTTCAGTGGGGATTGGATGATCCAAACGGCCGTGTATAAACATATTTTTTTAGGACCCTCTCTTGGTCGTGTTCCATATTCTCATACACATGATATATAATGACCATTGTGGTTATATATGAAGGAAATTAGACGCAATTATGTTGCTTGTGTGACCTTTCTCATTATTTCTGTTTGTACCTACTCCAGGTCAGCGGGTGATGTACCGGAGGGATACAAGCGGCGCCAGTCTTACCAGGAACAGTTTTGTTCGGCACATCTATTTCCAGCTCTTTGATTGGCTGGTTAAAACAATCAATAAGAGACTTGCTCCGACTGGACAGTACAGACACAATTCGTAAGCTACAATTTGTAGATTTACATGATAGGTCTTATGTTATCTCCTTTTAAAATGTATTCTCCCGATTCTGTATATAAATATATTCTAACTATGGAACTGATTGTTACGGCTAGAAGGAAATACGGTTTATTTACGTAATTCCTGGTTGTGAGTAGGTTATCCTGCATATTACACATTTTCTTGCAAAAGAGATCATGAAGAAAATATCTTAATTTTTATATTTAATTTGTTGCAAAATGCATTTTAGATACACTTACATATTAACATTATGTTATTTATATACTGATAATTGTATCGCTACCAAAGGTGATTGGTTAGTTGAGGCAATATGACGTTATACCTATATGACATGACACGATATGACGTCATCATTGCAGAGTAATAGTAGTTGGGCACGGTTGGCAGAGTCGTTTCATCGGGAAACTCTCCGTGAAGATGTGTGTCCCTTAGGCGTGCCATAATCCTGTGATCGTGGGTTCGATTCCCAGATTCGCCGTAATGATGATTCTTGGTTTGTCAGCACCATCTCCGTGTTCGTTGGTCTCACCAATACACGTCTGGGATTTAACAGTATGTACTGTGCTGTACAGTGCTGTACTGCGCCACTCACTCACTCACTTTGCTTCATAGGAAACAACTTAAAACAGTGGGAATTCTGGATCTTCCCGGGTTTGAGAATTTGATGACCAACAGTTTAGAGCAGCTTCATTTTAACCTAGCGGAGGAGAGGCTCCAAGATCACGTGACTGAACTTGTCTTCCGGCGAGAGTTCCATGACCTTCAAACTGATGACATCAAAGTTCCTGATACCAAATTCAGAGACAACTCAGAGGTTCTTGATGCTTTCTATGATGTAAGTAGCGTCAGGAATAAGTATAAGTATATGTTCAGTATATATTAAATACCTTCACCTATGTCAGGTGTGATGGGAAGTCCAGTTCACTGAGGCGCCATTTTCCCCCTTGCAGATCCGTTGGTCTTGTGTTCGAACCTCGAATACTGATCCTTGGTTTGTCCGCGCATTATCTTTGGTTTCACTAAACCGATCGATGATTACAACCTGTGTCTGGACCGACATTAAGATGACACGCCGTGATATAACTGGAATTATGTTTAAACGACGATTAATCACACCTGAATAGTAATAGCGACAAAACCATTTTAATATATAATCATAAGATTATATATATAAGAAGAGTCTATTTTACGATTCCGACTATAGCATAGTCATTTGTTTATGAATCACTTTAAAAAAGTGATGATGTGTGAAAAAGGTGTGCTTATCCTGCCCCATTGGTGGCACACGTCATAAACACATGCATGGGCAAGTAAATAGTCACCTGAAAAAGATGTAAGTAGTATAGGTACATTATGTCTGATGAAAACGGGCTCATTTCAATCTGTACAGCCCGAAATCTACTAATATGTCAATAGGATTTCAACATGGAAGTGAGGTGAGGTGAGGTGAGGTGAGGTGAGGTGAGGTGAGGTGAGGTGAGGTGAGGTGAGGTGAGGTGAGGTGAGGTGAGGTGGGGTTTAACCTCGCGTTCAAGATTATTTCACTTTTGTGTGCAGCCACTCGTACTTGTACATGATAGCGCTAGTCCACAAAGATACCATACCACAATTCAACATGGATAACCCACTCAGACAGAATATATTGAACAGACCAGTCCTTGTTTTACTCCCTTAACGCCGACTGCCGGGCAGCGTAACAATAAGTACCACATTGTAACGTCTTTGGGATTGACGCGGCCAGGGGATCGAACCCCGACCTGAACCGCAAAAGAAACGTCACCCCCAGTAACATTGCATGAAAAGTTGTCATTTAAATATCTTGGTAATTTTTGTAAAAGTTTCTAAAATTTAACATTACCGTGTCCGGAAAAATGAAATTTGATGATGAAAAACCCCAAAGCAGATGACAATAAAACCGATCGCCTAAACGCATCACGGCAACAGCCATGGTAACCCGAAGCACGTGAGTTCCGTGGAAATTGAAATGCAAATGCGTTCCCCAACTTCTTGCCTTATAAAAATCCAAGAATCCAAACAGATCTCCATACAGATCGGATAACATTCATTCGTTATTGAATTGTTATCACATGCCAAGATTGACAAGAAATCAGCGACACCAGGCCCTTGGACGATTGCAAGCTGTACAAACAGCCCGGCAAGTAGCCAATGCATTTCAAGTCCTCGTAAGGACCATATACAGGCTCCAACACTACAGATGACCGACCACGTAGTGGAAGACCAAGGGTCACCACCCGACGTCAGGATCGTCAGCTTGTGCAACAGCTTCTTCAAGATCGCTTTGTTACTGCTGCGGAAACTGCTCGACAGACCATGGGGACATTAGTGCAGACACCGTGCGTCGACGATTGACAAACAGACACCTCCACTGTCACAGGCCACACCGAGGACCCATTCTGACACCATGTCATTGCCGGGTCCGTCTTCAGTGGGCAACACAGCACCAGCATTCTCAGAGGAGAACCGTTACTGTATCTCAACAGCATGATGGCAGAGAGAGTCCGGCGACACCATGGGGGACTTTATTCAAATGCTTGTGTTGTTGAGAGGGACTCGTGGGTTGATCCGAGCATCATGGTGTGGGGTGGAATTGGTCTTGCACGCAGCGTCGGGCCTGTGGTCTTCCAGAAAATCTGTCCAGGGAGAGGCCATGGTGTCACAGCAGTTCGGTGCATTGATCATGTGTTGAGACCACACGCCATACCTCATTTGGTACGTCGCCGCAAGCCGTTTCAGCATGATAACGCCCGTGGCCACATTGCGAGAGCAACAAGGGACTTCCTCCAGCAGAATGGCATCAGAACCATGCAGTGGCCTGCCATCAGTCCCGATTTAAATCCCATTGAGCACCTGTGGGACGAGATTCAAAGTGGCGGCACGTGGTCCTGTGCACAGCGCACAAATCATTTGCAGTTAAGCAACGTCGGTCTCGAAGAGTAGTTGGATGGGTGACCACATTCAGCAGCTTGACTCCTGAGAGTTTCTAGGGCTTCGGTCCTGCCCCCACACTGAAGCACATGTACCACATGTGGTGTCCCCTTAGGCAAGTGACTTTGTTCGAAATGTGCCTCTGTTAACCTTCTAGCGCCTCACAGGCAGCTTGGGTTGTATACTCCCCAGGGAGCTGAGAATGAAAATCGAGTGCTCACTGATCCAATGACCGGGGTAATAATAGTGTAGCGCCATGAGCATCCACTTGGTAAATGGAATCTTGCGCATTATAAATGCACTTATTATTATCTTTATTAAAGACGGCTAAATGACATCCGACCAAGGCCGACAACTGCAGCTGAACTGCGTCAGGCGTTCTTAAGAGTGTGGGCTCAACCGCCTCATCAAATCCATGTATCGACGTTGCACGGAAGTCATCAATGCACATGACCGACACGCGAGACACTGACTTGTGATGTCATTTTCTCAGAGACAAGTGTTGTGTTTCACTTTAAGAACATTTGACACTTTAATTTCAGCCTTGATGATCAGTTTTCCCAAGTTTCATCTTTTTGATATGTCTCAAAATATGTTTACAGTGTTTGGAAAAATAAGGTTTCTCATATATCTATCCATGGTGACGTTTCTTTTGCGGTTCAGTATATGTGTTTCTTGAAACTGCCCCTCTCCAGCATCTATTGCCCCGCGTCAGTGGCCTGGTTATCTAAAACCTTCCAGTCGTTTTTTCTATCGATTCTACACATGGCGACCAAAGAAGATTTGTTAAGTCTTTTACCGTCCAAACAACCAACCGATACTCAAAACAGTAGTCCGTTCCCCTGTCACCATATTTCTTGTTAGAAAGCAATTTGTTCAAAACCGCCCTGAAATTGTCTTCTTAAAAAGTCGTGAATCAAATTGGTTTTGCATGAAAAGTGCAAATTTCCGAACCATTGTAGCAGGAACGTTACTCGAAGACAGCATTACCATGATTAAAGTATCTGTCTGAAGTTTTTTACTCCGGATCCAATTGACAAAGTCGTTTATTTCGTTTCTGATATCTGCGAAGTTTTACATGTTAAACGTGGTTTTGCATTTGCCGGTATTAGGGTATTTGTAAAACTTACATGGTACGTTTAAATTTGTTTTTGGACGACTTGTGTAAGGCTACATTAAGTGAGACACCCTAATATAAAACAATCTAACCCCAATGCTGAATGGAAGAACATATTCTTTTTAGAGAATTAACAAGTTTGTGTATAAAACGTGCTCTTCGCGGCCCCATCAAAGGGAAATAGTTCTATTTGCACGCGCATGTTTACCTATATCCGATTGAAAAAAAATGAAACGCATTAAGTTGTTCATCAAGGGTGATATAAACGAAATAGAGTGACTCCTGCTTCTTAGGAAATCTCATCTCCAACACAGGAGTAGTATTTGTTATTCTTGGGGAGGGTGGGGGCTTAGGGCCTTGGGGCCTGGGATTTGGTTTTGAGAACAGGTATTTAAGTACACCTGCACAATTAGAGGTGAGGTGAAATGGGGTTTAACGTCGCGTCCAAGATTATTGCACTTATAAAGCAACATGCATGTACGTGTGTGTGTCTGCTTGTACTAGTCCGGACTGATGCCGATTTATAGTGCTAGCACACTGAGATACCATGCCGCAGTTTAATACTTTAATAGTTTAAATACCCCACTCAGACACAGTATACTGACTCCGAGCCGACCAGTCCACGTTTTAGCCCCTTAATGCCGAGCGCCAGACAGGGTAACAACAAGTACCATCTTTTAACGTCTTTTGGTATGACGCGGCCGGGGATCGAACCCCAGACCTTCCGCTCTCCGGGCGGACGCTCTACCACTAGACCACGGAGGCGGTGGTATTTTTGTAATCAGATATTTTTGTAATTAAAACTATGAGTCAAAATATTTTCTCTCTAAAAAACATTGGAACAATGTCATTTTTGTGCCAGACATGTTTTCCCCAACAATATGAAGCATAATTATCTTTTTCGATGAAATCCCAGAGAATTGAAAGCAGGCATAGGATAATTTGACAAGAAACTTGCGTTCTTGTATAAACATGTTATTTAGATCACAATAATAAGGACATACAAAAGTAAAATAACTTTCATTTTCTATAGCGGAATGACATATTGGGCATAATCTTCTTCGATTTTTTAGTTGATATTTTTCTTCCTTTATCACGTGATCTAACAATCCAAGCTTAAATTGAATAAATGGACGTCTGAGGGTTTTTGAGTTTAATATAGATAAGTATTTGTTTCTGGTTGAATAAGACTGCGTTTTATTCATGTGGACATGTCTTGATATTTGATAACCCAAGATGTGAAACGCCGCGATATAACTGGAATACTGTTAAAAGCGGCGTTACACCCAACTCACTCACTCACCCAAGATGTGAAATCAGCCAGGAAACAGGTGAAGTAATTTTACGACATTCCACAATTCGTTTTGAGGATTTAAAAAAAATAATCTAGCCTTTGTATGGCTGCAGTACTGTGTTGTGTACTTTTCAAACCCTTCATAAATGGTGATAGTCTTCACACAAATCATACCTGTGACCACCATGACGTCTGTCGTGTTTAATAATGACACAAAACTCTTCACATTGCTTTACAGAGCAACATTGGCTTGCTACGTCTTATGGACGAGAACACCGACCCGAGTCCGAACGCCGACATGGATCTGCTGAACGACATCAAAAGGAGACATAGCAAGAAGTCCTCAGTGGTGAAGACGGATAACACTGGTCAAACGTTCATGGTCATTCACCATCGGGGCCAGGTGAGCTTGCTCTCGAATGTGTGTTCCGTGTATCGGAATCCCTTCAATCATTTGCAAAAAGAATACGGTTAACTGATGATTATGTCATCTCAAAATGGATACTTCCCGGGAGAGGCCTTTAATTTGGACACATCAGCACTAGTCATGCACGCTACGTCTACGTTAATTTTGAAAGAAACAAATCTTGCGCCAGAGAAAGAAGCTCGTGGGTGAGGTGAGGTTAAATGGGGCTTAACGTTACGTCCAAGATTATTGCATTATATAGCGACGTACATGCACGCGTGTGTGACTGCTTGTACTAGTTCGGACTAATGCCGGTTATATAGTGTTCCCACTCAGATACCATGCCGCAGTTTAACATGAAAACTCCACGCAGACACTGAATACTAACTCCGAGCCGACCAGTCCTTGCTTTAGCCCCTTCATGCCGAGCGCCAGACAGGGTTACAACAAGTACCAACTTTTCATGTCCTTTGGTTTGACGCGGCTGGGATCGAACCCCGGATCTTCCGCTCTCTATCCGTATATAGGTAAACGACAGGAAGATGAGAGAGTATGGTTTTACGCCGCTTCTAGCAATATTCCAGCAATATCAGGTCAGCGTACACCAGAAAAGTGCTTCACATATTGTAAACATGTGGGTCGTCTTCGGCGTAACGAGTGAACGCTTCAACCACAAGGCTACCCAATAGCCTCCTGATTGAGTGAGTGAGTGAGTTGGGTTTAACGCAGCTTTTAACAGTATTCCAGTTATATCACGGCGTGCCAGCTTATTGTGGGAGGAAAGCCCGAAGTGATGCAGGTCTCAGACGTTTACCTCTTTGGTGAAACCCACGAGCACGGGTATGGTGCTGACAAACCTAGAAACATAAATGGGGCGAACCGGGATTCGAACCCACAATCATAGGTTTCTGGCGTGTCCAAGGGACGCAACTCTTCACAGCGAATCGCGGCGCCTCAGACGACTAGGCCACCCGTGCCCCCATAGCCTCATGAAGGATGACGTGAGTTCTAAAGATAATAAGGGTTAGGTGTGCATATCCTGATTTTTGTATTATTACCGTTCACGTGTGCTTCAAAATATATGTTCTTCAAACAGGTTATATACAACATCGAGGTATTACTGACAAAGAACAGGCCGGTCAGAGTACGCAGCTTTGACGCTCTTCTGGAGTACAGCCAGAACCCTTTATTGCATGAACTCATGTCCACGCCACACGATGGAAGGTAAGCAGCCATTACCAGGACCCACCATCTGGAATCCAGATTTAGAGACTGAGAAGTTGACCATATAAATCCTCTCACACTGAAAACTTAACTGCGCTGGACGTTTTAAATTGTCATCAGTTAAGATATCCCGTCCACACCAGCTATATTCCGTTCAGGGTTAAATAGATACACGTAACTACATTCCTTCTTTATTTTGATATAAAAATATTTTATCAATAATGATGAAGAGTGTAAGTTATTAAAGATTCCTGAGACAGTTTCTCGAAAAGGTTTTAAATTATTTTTTTTAGTTAATTGTCAAAATGGATGAACAGTACTTCAAAAACTAATAGAACCAAATGAAGGATTCTTTGAACTCACATACATTATCCTCTGTTCCAAGTTCACAATTGTCAATAAAGAGTATTTCCTTGTGCGATGGGTAATTTTTTACTTGTATTCTTGTAATTTGTAAGATATGAATTTGTTTTGAAATCTCCGTTAATGTGTCTCTCAAAGACCTCAAAACTCCAGAGACCATTCGTCATACATTTCCATCATCTAATTGTGGTCCAGGGATTCCTGTTTTTCTGTTGCACATGGTTTCCGTTTCCTTGTAGTGAAGAACATCACCAATATCTGTTATAACGTCCTGGGCATTCAGATGTTTAGGCACACTCTGTATATTAATTTAAAAACCCTCAAATCTTACTGCGGTTAATGATACTTATTACATTTATGGACGAAAGAAAGCCAGTGCTCTCAGAATGTCATTGTTTGCCGTTGTGTAGAACATGTGAATGTATCATTGGTTTAGGAGGAGAATTGTCAAGTTCCACCTTTGTTAGGTTAATTCTTATGTTGTTTTTACAGGTACATAAATATGTTCTATGCTTCATAGCATTTATTCACATGATGGAGTAAGTATATACTCCGAAACGTTGTGTTCATCATATTAAATTTTTTTTGCATACATAAATCCTCTTCATTATTTGTATCACTTCTTGATGCCATTCAAAGACTTATCATTGGTTGTACTGTGGCAGTTCACATTCTCGTCATCCGGGCGACACATCTGATGACCTCACGTTAACACAGACATACGCGGTAAGTTTAGAGAGTCTTCATAGTAAAGCAATCTTCTTTGATTGCATTTGGTTTTATTAAGTGTCAACTGTGGGGATTCCGGGGCAGATTACGCCCTCATTACTCTATCCTTGTACATGTTATTCAGTAGGGGTCGACTAACATAATGAGAATCATTGCTCATAATAAAAATCACTTGGTTGTCTGGTCCAAAATCGATTGTTACAGGCCGCCGTCATATGGCAGGGGTACGGCTAAGTGCGGAGTAAGCCAACAAAAAACACACGCTTTCTTTTTTTAAGACAATTCTTTGATTTGACAGGGATACCATTTTCGCGAACACCTGGTGTCATCACTGATTTTCAGTGATCCGTTCGTACAATCTCCATCACCATTTTGCTTTTGATGCCACGTGAATCTATTTCGGCAGATAATCGACACTGTTCATTTTCTGGCGTTGATATTCGAATTTGCTGACCTAGCTTATAATATGTCATCGTGCCTCTAGACTTTGCTTGTTGCTTACTGTCAACCACTGTAGTGCCAGCCACAGACTCGATTATTTAAGTGCCGTCGTTGTATACATATGTTGCTGGAATAATGCTGGCCTCAGGGCAAAACAACATTCACTCACTCATATCAAACTATGCACGACAGTTGAATGCAATCGTTGGCGTTAAGGTCAGTTTAATCCACCATGTTAACACACACTCATTCTCGCATATCTCGGAAGAGCATTCACATAATTATATGAAAAGGAACAGCTAATGTTTTGGTTGGTAGATACAACACCTATATATGAATATTATTTCGGAGTAAAAAATGTTGTGCTTTAGATATACCAGCACGGCCCATTCTCGATGTGAAAAGGTAGGTCTTGACAATAAATGAAGCGGATATTCCAAGAAATCCAATTACGATTAAAATTGCAGGATAATCCCTCATGGCATGTTAATCCTTACAATGGCCCCGGAACCTGTCAATCATCAAATATCCGTTTCTTCAAGCAGTTATGTCTTCTACATCCGGCCAGAAGTCCCTAAGGGTGAAGTGATGGCCTTCGGAGCCTTTGCAGCTCTATCGGAGCTTCATGTCCATATTGACATCATGGTGTTTCTGACCTTTCCAGGCAGCTCTGAGAGGGATGTTCCGCCGGCTAGAAGGACGAGAAACACAGCATGTTTGGTACGTTGAAGTGGTCTCCTGTCACATACCTGGTTTTCACTCGGACAGCACTTCATGCACATATGCGTCTGTTTTCTTATATTGATTGATCTCGATGTCATTGTGGTCTTTCCGTCTAGTCACCTACGCTAGGCACGCATATTTCTTGCACAGCATCGTGGGTTCAGTATTTGAAATTCATCACTTATTTTCTTCAGGGCTAAATGAAAAACGGAACCTTCATTTGCGATATGGTCTTCATATAATTCAAGGCACTACGGTGAATGATTTTTTTCACATTTCAACAGAACTGTACACATACTGGTATTAATGTTTGATGTCCTCCCCCATAAAAGATTTTGAGTGAAACCTCTTTAACCCACAACACCGGCTTAACGGCTAAATGTACTGGACAGTGAATTCCGTTAGTCTGGGCAATCAAATAACTCGATCATCGAATCATGGTTTAGGGTATTGTCCTTTAAATTAAAGGCCGTCCAGAAGGATGTGCTAGATTGGATGTGCTACCGGACTAAAGGGTCCGCACTAACGAGGTTTCCTTGTACCTAAAGTGTCAATTCCCTAGTCAGATTCCCGCACCACTCGGTGTACATTCTGCGAAAGCATGGTAACAAAACCAATATACGTTTTAATCATTCCCCACAGCGGAGAGACATTTACACATGAGAAATTACTGCTAACCGATTGAGCATTGCAAAACTGTTCAAGGTTCTCAGGACAATGTACTTGAGCAAATACAAATCACGGAAGTCGTGGGGGACTCAGATTGGTCTATTTTGGTATATGAAATGAGAATTCACTGTATTTGTAATATTTGCATACGTTTTAGTGTGCGTAAATAGAGTGGAAGCAGAACAGGGAAGTGAAGAGTGTGTTTTATATCATCATTCTATTCACAGTGGAAGGGTCTGGATCTCATCTGGCCGACTCACTATACATGCAAATTGCAGATTTGGACAATCTATGAAGGCAATGTGTCACATGTTCTTTAATGTGCAAAAACTGAGTTATGGAGCGTGGGGAGATTCAGCCGATCGACAGTTGCAGATCGTGAGGAATTAATCTTGATTACAGTAGCGATTACCGAGGGGTCAGGCCAAAGGGCTGTATTGAATGTCTGTCTGTGGGAGATATTTAGAAGAGAATGGATTCAATTCACAATCAAAAGATCAATTCTTTCAAATTAGAGAAATACTGTCCGGTTCACCCCTTGCTATAATGATGGTTATTTATTATAATGTTAGATAGCACGGATTGCCAAGTCGTCTAATTTGCTGTGCAGAGTTGTGCTCCTTAGGGATGCGCGAATCCTATACAGTTTAACTATAAATCATGAGACGCCAGTAATACATGGAAGTGTGGTGTTCTGTTCCTATGAGATTGCCTCCGTAACTTGTTGTTACCCTGTCTGGCGCTCGGCATTAAGGGGCTCAAACAAGGACTGGTCGGCTCGGAGTCAGTATACTGTGTCTGAGTGGGGTATTCATGTTAAACTGCGGCATGGTATCTCAGTGTGCTAGCACTATAAATCGGCATCAGTCCGCACACACACACACACACACACACACACACACACACACACACACACACACACACACACACACACACACACACACACACACACACACACACACACACACACACACACACACACACACACACACGTTATATAAGTGCAATAATCTTTGACGCGACGTTAAACCTCATTTCACCTCACCTCTGTTCGTATGACAACATCCCCAGCATCAAATATTGAGTCTCCATAGGACTCTATCAAACGCTTATAGTAGTCTTCAATCTGAATGGACGTCTGGAGTACTGTTATAACGGCGTTAAACCACTCACTTACTCCATCTGTCCATAGATTAGTTACCAGACACCGTGAATTTCCGGGAAGTATGGGCCCCTGTACATTATGCTTGTCGGAAGAGCCGACGTACCTGCGTGACGTATGGTTATACAGGATGGGCTGACTCGCAGGGGCATTGTACCCCGACGTGGAACGTTGCTTATGATGTCAACAAGTTAACAGGCCACTATTGTATTATATGTTGTATGTAGTTGTTATACATCCGAACAAGCTTTACTCTTGACGATGTTCGTCGACGCTACTGTTCGAACTAATTCCACTGTCGATAAATAAAAGTCGTGAAAAACATAACAGAAGAGCTTCATGGTCCTGCTGAAACATTAAACATTTAAAAATAATTAATTAACAGTTCCCATTATTTTTTATTTAAATAGATCAAGAAATCACGTCAATCCGGACTGTACCATGACCTTTGACATCATCCGGATTAACATTTTCTTTGTTTCTTGTTAAACGCCGCAATGGTCCAACTATATGACGGCGGTCTGTAAATAATCGAATCTGGATCCCACAGTCCAGTGATTGACATCATGAACAACGATCTACGCAACTGAGATACGATGACATGCATCAACCAAGTCAGAGAGCCTGACCACTCGATCCCGTTACTCGCCAAGCATGGGTTGCTGAAGACCTATTGTAATCCGGATCTTCCGGGCTCGGATTAACAAATGCAGTATTAACATATGAGGTTACGTCGTAGTAACCCTTTAATTATGCGTAGATATAAACATTAATTCGGATTATGAATTTCAAATTGCGGACGAACGACTAGTTAGGATCGGCTATTCTGACATACATCTTCAACAGTAATTGTCCGGTAAGGGGAGGTTTTGGACTAACGAGGTTTCACTGAGGTTAGTTGATGAACTAGTTTACTGTTGCGGTGTAGGTGCATCCGTCCCAATATGACGTTACAACCTGGTGTGTTTGACGTCGACGTCGTCGCAAGACAGTTGACTGCCATGAACGTCGTTGAAGCTGCTCGCATCAGGTCCATGGGCTATCCCGTCAGGATCTCCACCAGAGACTTCATTGATCGGTTTGTGCCTTTCGCTCTTCCCAGCACACTAGGTAATGTAACGAAATGAACTTTTCTTAGAACCCTAAACACTGGTTATTTAACGTTACATAACGATGGGGACGAGAGCCCTGTGATGAAACAGTGCTACAGTCGGGGCCGTAAAGAACCTATCAATTTTTTACCGGCCATTAAAGTGATTCGGAAACAGACATGCAGCTTGATTAGATTAATCCGAATCCCGTGTCCAGGTTTAGGGCTGGTAGTGGAGACAGGGTATACTTCCATATAATTCTGCAAACTCCAGTTCAGATTGTTTCTGAAAACTTTCAGGACTTAATTAGGCGAAAGAGTGGGCGGGGATCCCATGTAACGAATACTGATTGTTGTGTATGTTTATTAACCGAAAGACTTTGAGCTTTTGCCCTCATAACACAACATAAGTGTCACGGTTTTATTACAGAGAGAGTTCCCCAACCTCGGTAAGCGATACATCGCCCCCAACGGGAGCCTACGTAATATGTTGCGTGGCATGACGCCTCCCATGCGTTGACTAGTTTCTGGAATGTCATTTGGATGAAACAATATTCACTTCACTATCCATTCTATTTAATATAGTGAAATCGATACCCATGCTGGGGTTGTCCCTTTGTGTAACATCATCTTTCCACAACGAAGGGTTTCATAGCTTTAAATCAGTTTTCTCATAATAGAAACCAGATTAGAAATCGAAAAAAACAACCCAAGGTTGCTCATATAATCTTTTTTTTAATTTGTTGACAGCTCTACCCTTTTAAAATGGACCTTAGTTTTGGGTTTTCCAATATGTATTTTTTGGGTATTGATTATCTGCCTCGTGAGACCAATCATGCCTCCTACACGTGTTTTACGTTTTTGCAAGTCTTTGATTACAAAACACATATGTCTGGAATCAATGGACAGATGGGAAGACACAATCTGGTAATATGTCTAAATTAAAACTTCAGTTTAATCTTCCAGCTATAGATTTGTCGGCCTCCCGCTATCTGCCCACATCGACTCACCACAGGGGGCGTGCCACCGGATAATTAGAAAAGCCGGAATCCCTGACGGAGGGTGGCAGGTCAGACAAAGGAAGGTCAGTATGTCAGAGTCTGCATGTGTGAGGAGTGAGTATGGTTTTACGCCGCTTTTAGCAATATTCCAGCAATATCACGCGGCGGACACCAGAAATGAGCTTCACACATTGTACCCATGTCGGGAATCGAACCCGGGCCCTCGGCGTGACGAGCGAACGCTTAAACCACTAGGCTACCCGACCGCCCCTTAAGGGAAGTAGCTCACAAAGCATGTGTGAGGAAAGCGCGAAGTTATGTTTGTCGAAGATATTTATTACTATGGTGGAACTGTAGGGCGCGAGTATGGTGCTGACAATACATGATTACAACCAGGACGAATCGAGGTTTTGAAACCACGATAATAGGATCCTTGCACGCCCAAGGGATTTTACTCTGCACGGCGAATTGCGCACTCGAGTCCACAGCATTTGCCGAAATGCATTCACTTAACTGTTCTGTTGTGAAGATTAAAACAGACTTCTAGTTGTCATCACTTCTACCGAGTAACGTCATTAAAGGACCGTCTCTGTGGTCTTGGTGGATAGAGCGACTGCCCGGAAGGACAATATTCTTGAAGACGACGTTAAACCCCATTTCTCCTCTACTTACCTCATTTAAATAGCCCATAACATCATACTTTCTTTGCGTGAGTGAGTGAGTGAGTGAGTGAATTTAGTAGAAACGAAGCCTTAAACAGTATTACAGGTATATCACGATATGTGAGCATCAGAGAAACATTAGAATATGAGACAAGATGGTAAAATTTGTGTTAAAATGATAACCTTCAGTAATATTATCGTGTGTACTGTGACGAATGAAATCGACATGACCTTAGTAAACAAAAATGCCGTCGCTATATGGCTGAAATAATGCCGATGCAACGTTAAATTTTAACTCACTCAGCCAAACAAACACGACAAAGCTCTATCCATTATCTCTCTAAATACATTGTGCGAGTCCAACTACATCAAAAGCATATGTTTTATTATTCACTAAAAATAACGATCATACCAGGTGTTCGCGATAAGATGAGCGTAAGAAATTGATACCCTATTAATACCACAACGCAATAAATCTTATAGTGTACAGCTCATAAATGATACGGACCAGTGAAGATCCGGGCTAGAATAGGTCTTCAGCAACCCATGCTTGCCGTAAAAAGCGACTATGCTTGTCGTAAGAGGCGACTTACGGGAACGCGTGGTCAGGCTCGCTGACTTGGTTGATGCACGTCATCGATCCCAATTGCGTGGATCGATGCTCATGATATTAATCACTGGATTGCCTGGTCCAGAAGCGATTATTGACAGATCGCCGTCATATAGCTGGAATATTGCTGAGTGCGGCGTTAAACAACAAACAAACAAACATAAATGATACGATGTATGAAATCCGACCAAGCCAGATAGTGAGCTAACGAAGGTTAGACTCTAGATTGTCGTAAGAGGTTCACAAAGACTCGCAGAGTAACAGACAGCGTGAAGTCGGAGGAGCATATCATGTCTCGTAGTAGAGGGAAGTAAGTGGGTGTTGTTCGGCTTACCATGTCGGGTAGTATTACAGGGAAGTAAGTGGGTGTTGTTTGTCTTACCATGTCGGGTAGTATTACAGGGAAGTGAGTGGGTGTTATTTGGCTTACCATGTCGTGTAGTATTACAGGGAAGTAAGTGGATGTTATTTGGCTTACCATGTCGTGTAGTATTACAGGGAAGTAAGTGGATGTTGTTTGGCTTACAATGTCGTGTAGTATTACAGGGAAGTAAGTGGGTGTTATTTGGCTTACCATGTCGTGTAGTATTACAGGGAAGTAAGTGGATGTTATTTGGCTTACCATGTCGTGTAGTATTACAGGGAAGTGAGTGGGTGTTGTTTGGCTTACCATGTCGTGTAGTATTACAGGGAAGTGAGTGGGTGTTGTTTGGCTTACCATGTCGTGTAGTATTACAGGGAAGTAAGTGTGTGTTGTTTGGCTTACCATGTCGTGTAGTATTACAGGGAAGTGAGTGGGTGTTGTTTGGCTTACCATGTCGTGTAGTATTACAGGGAAGTAAGTGGGTGTTATTTGGCTTACCATGTCGTGTAGTATTACAGGGAAGTAAGTGGGTGTTGTTTGGCTTACCATGTCGTGTAGTATTACAGGGAAGTGAGTGGGTGTTGTTTGGCTTACCATGTCGTGTAGTATTACAGGGAAGTAAGTGTGTGTTGTTTGGCTTACCATGTCGTGTAGTATTACAGGGAAGTCAGTGGGTGTTATTTGGCTTACCATGTCGTGTAGTATTACAGGGAAGTAAGTGGGTGTTGTTTGGCTTACCATGTCGTGTAGTATTACAGGGAAGTAAGTGGGTGTTGTGTGGCTTGAAGTCGAGTTATTTATAATGAATTGAGTGAGTGAGTGAGTTGGATTTAACGCCGTTTCTAACAATATTCCAGTTATATCACGGCGTGTCAGTTTGATGTGGGAGGAAAACCCGAAGTAATGCATGTCTCAGACGTTTCCCACTTCGGTGAAACCCACGAGCACGGGTATGGCGCTGACAAACCTAGAAACATAATCGGGGCGAACCGGGATTCAAACACACAATCATAGGTTTCTGGCGTGCCCAAGGGACGGAATTCGGCACAGCGAATCGCGGCGCGTTTGACGACTGGGCCACCCGTGTCCCCTATTCATAATGAAAGAGTGAGTGAGTATGGTTTTACGCCGCTTTTAGCAATATTCCAGCAAAAGCACGGCGGGGACACCAGAAATGGGTTCACACATTGTACCCATGTCAGGAATCGAACCCGGGTCTTCGGCGTGACGAGCGAACGCTTCAACCACTAGGCTATCACTAGGAGTTCACAGCGGCCAAACGATGCAAGAGCTACAGTTACCAGCTTGAAATTCACACATCTGTGGGCCGTTGTACAAAACAACCTTAGCGCTATGACCGTCGTAAGCCTATGTTAAGGTATGGGAGTTACGATCACCATAGCTCTAAGACCGCTCTGTACAACGGCACCCTGGAGCAGCAATGATCATGATAAGCATCAGTGTAAATCATGGATTTAAACCTTCTTATACGTATGAGCTGTGAAAAAGTCAGGGACAGGGAAAATCAAACAGAAAAATATTTCTAAAATTCTTCATCGATTGAATAAATACCCATTTTGTTATGAGCATATTCTACTTTTCAAAATGAAATCGTGTGGGCATTTCAATAAATTGGTTTCAACCATTGTGCTAGAACAATCCCTATTGATCTTGACTAACAGTATATCTTTTTTCTAGTGTATTGACGATGCTACTATGTTTAGTATGTTTCTTGGTCATGATTCTTTATAACAGCGTCCTGCAGCGTTGCAATCTTATGATCGACCTAATTATAATAAGCTTCTTGAAGTGTTGATCTTTTCATAAGAAAAAAATTCTGCGTTTTATTTATTTGTTATTTTTGCAATGTGCGTTGACTTACACATTAGTCAGTTAATACACCGTCTTATAAGAAAAGGCACCCGCGATAATTTAAAACGATGTCGACACGTAAACGGAAATGCAAAGATACAGGATACAATACCGTGAATAAATGATTCTTTTGGATGAAGAGCTAGTGGGCAAACACGCATGTGCGTGGGCTCAATCAGGGTATTTTGCTGTTGGCGAAAACAATATTTACTTAATATTTTAATAAGTTAAAAACACATGTTCTCTAAGATAAAAACTAAAGTTGCAATTGGATCATCGTTGCCTCCTTTGATCAAAACAATTTCTTTGGACCGGTATCCTTGGGCGAAGCATTATCAAGTATCCGCGATTTTCTAGGCATCTAAATCTTTTTAATCCAATCTGTTTGTTCACAGTATTAAGATTCTATTTATATTGCTGTACATATCAGGTGGAACCGCAGGCCGATCTGGGAGGTAATAAGCTGTGATACATGCACTTTTACTTTTGACGATATATGATTTACTTTGTTTGTTTGTTTGTTTGTTTGTTGTTAAACGTCGCACGCAGCAATATTCCAGCTATTTGACGTCGGTCTGTAAATAATCGAGTCTGGGCCAGACAACCCAGTGATTGACATCATGAGGATCGATCCACAATTGGGATACGATGATATGCATCAACCAAGTCAGTGAGCCTGAACACCCGATCCCGTTAGTCGCCTTTTACGACAAGCATAGTCGCCTCTTACGACGAGCATAGTTGCCTATTACGACAAGCATAGTCGCCTTTTACGACAAGCATAGTCGCCTTTTACGATATACACCAGATTTATCAGTGTAGTAGTCCTTCCTGTTAAAACTGCACACTTTTGTTATACCTTATATACCGATTGTGTATCATCAACCAAGCTATTCATAATCAATCATCTACCTACCGATTGTGTATCATCAACCAACATATTCATAATCAATCAACTACCTACCGATTGTGTATCATCAACCAACATATTCATAATCAATCATCTACCTACCGATTGTGTATCATCAACCAATCTATTCATTATCAGTCATCTACCTACCGATTGTGTATCATCAACCAATCTATTCATAATCAATCATCTACCTACCGATTGTGTATCATCAACCAAGCTATTCATAATCAATCATCTACCTACCGATTGTGTATCATCAGCCAAGCTATTCATAATCAATCATCTACCTACCGATTGTGTATCATCAGCCAAGCTATTCATAATCAATCATCAACCTACCGATTGTGTATCATCAACCAACATATTCATAATCAATCAACTACCTACCGATTGTGTATCATCAACCAAGCTATTCATAATCAATCAACTACCTACCAATTGTGTATCATCAACCAATCTATTCATAATCAATCATCTACCTACCGATTGTGTATCATCAACCAATCTATTCATTATCAATCATCTACCTACCGATTGTGTATCATAAACCAACATATTCATAATCAATCATCTACCTACCGATTCAGTATCATCAACCAATCTATTCATTATCAATCATCTACCTACCGATTCAGTATCATCAACCAACCTATTCATTATCAATCATCAACCTACCGATTGTGTATCATCCACAGATATATCTATAATAAATAATCTACCTACCGATTGTGAACCATCTACCACCCTATTCATAATCAGTCATCTACCTTCCGATTGTGTATCATCCACCAATCTAGTCATAATGAGTCTTCTACCATCTACTCTATCTATAAAGCCATCCAATACCCGTTCATCTACCACCACCCGTTCCTCTTCCTACTATCTCACGTATTGGGGGCACGGGTGGCCCAGTCGTCTAAGGCGCCGTGATTCGCGGTGCAGAGTTGCGTCCCTTGGGCACACCAGAAACCTATGGTTGTGGGTTCGAATCCCGGTTCGCCCCGATTATGTTTCTAGGTTTGTCAGCACCATACCCGTGCTCGTGGGTTTCACCGAAGTGGTAAACGTCTGAGACCTGCATCACTTCGGGCTTTCCTCCCACATTAAGCTGACACGCCGCGATATAACTGGAATACTGTTTAAAGCGGCGTTAAACCAGACTCACTCACTCACTCACTATCCCACGTGTTGCCCATCAACTAATTGTATCAATAACCCTGCGTGCAATCCTCCGAAATGCATCATCAAGGCCCGGGGGTGTTTATGTTCGTGTTGGCAACAGTATTCTTTATATTTTAATGAATTTTCAGGTAATGTTAGCTTGGTGGCACCAGGACTATTTGGACACAGCACTAGAACGGGCTTTGCGTCACGTGATCTTTGTACAGAGTCGGCTGCGAGGCTACGTTGCTAGGCGAAAGTTTTACAGAATGAGACGATACTTCCGAGAGGACAGGGACGAGTTGTCGAACTTTCTTGATGACGTCAGTAGTCATGGCCTGAGAACGTACCACGCATGTCAAGCCCAAAGCGACCATAACACCAGGGAGATTGAGAGACAGGTAGGATTAATATAATCGGCAAGTGGTATTCAGGATACAACAGGCCTACAGTACATCACACATCCAATCATTGATTTACGCTTTTTGTTTGTATATTGTTTGACGCCGCAGTTAGCGGTTTAAATAAATCACGATGGCATGTAACTTATCGAGCCAAACATTTGGTCGATAGCATGATCAACGCCCCAGAACGTCGGCCAAGTCACAGAAACTGGCCATCAGATCCCCACCCTGCATTTACGACAAGCATGAGACACCAGGGATCTATGACCTGCAATCTCCACAGTGAACTGTATCTACTAACCTGTGTGGTGATCCTAGGAAACGATTGTTATGTGGAATTGTGTCTTTAAAATGGTTCGTGACTTAACTGATAGCGAAAGTCGTGGGTTAAGACAAGTGATGATGTTTTTCGCCGCGTCCGCCCAAGTCAAATACTCTGTCTTCATTGAACCTAGAAGGAGAATTACTGATTCTTAGAAGTTCCAGCAAAACAGATTTGCTTCAAAAAAAAGAAAGAGCAGAGAGTGATGTTTACCACAACGACAGTGAGACCCTTCTAATTATATCAGCGTGCTAAAGAAACAGTTGTAGTAGTTTAAAAATGCATTCTTCTGATTATTGAAAGGGTTTTGTTGCTTGTGTTCTTTACGTCTTTCGACAGGGCTTTTTTATGGCAGTGCCTGCACGTCAAGGTATACTTTCTCTCTGTATGTGAGCGATATGTTGTTAGATTGTGTGATATCATATTTTTGTTTTCATCTATTAAGGTTCCGCTTTGATCTTTTGGAATTGATATCATCGCATGCATGAGATGAAGACTTATGAATAGGAGATGGTTGGGAGGTGTGGGATGAATGGCGATGTGATGGTGGCAATGATTATAATTAGGTAGTATTGTCAAAACTAAGTGAATAATTCCAAAAGAATTATCAGTAGTTCAATACTGAAGAACCCGATCATTGTCCAAAGAAGGATTCTATCACGGCTTCCGGTCAGACTACGATGTTTTTCACAAGAGCCGTTTTGAAAAAGGATAGGGTGTTTATTGTTTTCTGGCTTAATTTGGATATCGTACCATGATGGTGTGTATTGTATACACGTTGTTTGTCTCGCGTTTACGATTCATCGTGATATAGCTGTTAATATTACTGACTGCGGCGTAAAACAGCATTAACTCATATCACATCATGGCCTTGGGGGAGTTCACATACACGGAGCACAGAATGTAAACATGTCAACCCAGATATCACATCATGTCCTTGGGGGAGTTGATACACGGAGCACAGAATGTAAACATGTCAACCCAGATATCACATCATGTCCTTGGGGGTGTTCACATACACGGAGCACAGAATGTAAACATGTGAACCCAGATATCACATCATGTCCTTGGGGGAGTTCACATACACGGAGCACAGAATGTAAACATGTGAACCCAGATATCACATCATGTCCTTGGGGGTGTTCACATACACGGAGTACAAAATGTAAACATGTCACCCCAGATATCACATCATGTCCTTGGGGGTGTTCACATTCACGGAGCACAGAATGTTAACATGTGAACCCAGATATCACATCATGTCCTTGGGGGAGTTCACATACACGGAGCACAGAATGTAAACATGTCACCCCAGATATCACATCATGTCCTTGGGGGTGTTCACATACACGGAGCACAGAATGTAATCATGTCACCCCAGATATCACATCATGTCCTTGGTGGAGTTCACATACACGGAGCACAGCATGTAAACATGTGAACCCAGATATCACATCATGTCCTTGGGGGTGTTCACATACACGGAGCACAGAATGTAAACATGTCACCCCAGATATCACATCATGTCCTTGGGGGAGTTCACATACACGGAGCATAGAATGTAAACATGTCACCCCAGATATCACATCATGTCCTTGGGGGTGTTCACATACACGGAGCACAGAATGTAAACATGTCAACCCAGATATCACATCATGTCCTTGGGGGAGTTCACATACACGGAGCACAGCATGTAAACATGTCAACCATGATATCACATCATGTCCTTGGGGGAGTTCACATACACGGAGCACAGAATGTAAACATGTCAACCCAGATATCACATCATGTCCTTAGGGGTGTTCACACGAACGGAGCACAGAATGTAAACATGTCAACCCAGATATCACATCATGTCCTTGGGGGAGTTCACATACACGGAGCACAGAATGTAAACATGTGAACCCAGATATCACATCATGTCCGCGCCCTGCCAATGTTCTAATTATGTACTGGCGTATGTGCTATGGCTTTGTCTACTCGTTGATCTGCTGAGTGAACCAAGTGTTTGAATTCAGGAGAAATACAAGAGCGATATATGCTTAATTATATTATAATCTAGCGAAGTGGTTTCAGCTCTGAGATCCGTTTCCAAACAAAACGCCTTTCCAGTACCTAGAACGTGGTTTTGTAAAGTTTACGTTGACGGTGAGATTTGAACCACAATAGATTAGCGGAAATAAATGTTTGTATGGGCTATTAAGATCGCATGATGTCAATGCCCCAGGGGAGACTTCATTAGAACGCGACTGCCAAAGTGTCCGAAGATGTTAACCTCATCTGCTCTTATCTGTTCAGTACACCGGTCGAGACGGCGGACGGAGACAGGCACGCCACCACAGCGACCGCTCAGAGCGCGACTCCTACTACAGCAGATCTGGGTATGTGTTCTAGCAGGCATCGCCTGCTTGGCGTGAAACTGCTGCTCTCTACCGTCTTCTCGTTCCTTGAACTACTACTACTAAACTACTACTACTACTACTACTACTACTACTACTACTACTACTACTACTATTACAATTACTACTGTTGCTGCTGCTTCTACCCTTGCTCTTACTACTGCTACTGTTGTTTCTACTACTACTACTACTACTACCACTAATAATAATAATACTGACACTACTTCTACTGCTGTTACTACTGCTACCACTACTACTACCACTGCTGTTACAACAGAGTAGGACTAGATCTAGTAGTAGTAGTAGCAGTAGCAGTAGCAGTAGCAGTAGCTGTAGCAGTAGTAGTAGCAGTAGCAGTAGCAATAGCAGCAGTAGTAGTAGTAGCGACAGGTAGAATGGTATCGGGTAAAGTGGGAACACATGGAGCAGTAGCAGTTCTCTTCCTCCGCCCCTTCTCCCCTTCTCCTCCACCCCTCTTCCTCCCCACGTCTCCTACATACAACGTGTTTGTGAAATGTATCCAATAGTTTCCATGGCTTCCATGTAGTTGAACACCACCATGTTGGGTTTCCAGGTACAGAGGCCAGTCGGAAGTATACAACGGCCATATCGACCAAACGTTGGACGATTTCACTACATTCAAGCAGGTACCAATCAGCTTCTTCCTTGTGTATTGGTACAGGTGAACCACTGTATCTTTGAACAGGTTAACGTGTCAGATTAATTAGTAGTCATCTGACCGTTTCATTGTATATATGCATCGGTAATTCAAATTGTAGTCAATCCGTCCAATGAAATTGGAATCAGAACGTTATCGTTTCTGGTACACAGACTACATGAAGTTGGTTGGTTGTTTAACGCCGTTATCAGCAATATTCCAACTATATGACGGCGGTCTGTAAATAATCGAGTCTGGAACAGACAACCCAGTGATTAATATCATGAGCATCGATCCACACAATTGGGATCGATGACATGCATCAACCAAATCAGCGAGTCTGACCACCCGATCCCGTTTGTCGCCTCTTACGACAAGTATATGCGGCGTTAAACAACAAACAAACAAACAAACCTTCCTAATCCCGACACGGTTCATTGGTAAAGAACACCTTCTGTATATGTCAAAGTTAACGTTTCTGTATGTCAAGAAAGGTGAATTTATCCTTATTTTTGTGTGCCACATGTCTGGGTGTACGCAATGCAATATATTATCCCCCGCCACGAAATGGAAGAGGGATATAGGAATGGGTGCCGTCCGTCTGTCTTTCCGTCCTTCCGTCACATTTCGTTTCCGGAGCAGAACACAACATCCATTAGAGATATCTTAACCAAACTTGGCACATAGATAGGTCTAGTGGTGAACTGGTTCCTTTTGATAGTTTAGGAGTTTTTTTACGAATGTTTCCTTAGCAAGAGAATAACTCGGAAACCGTTTACATATTCTACAAACACATCTACGTAGGGTTGTCTGAGAACCGTTACCATATTGAGATGTATATGGTGAATTATTGTGGAAACACAATTTACAAGTGGCATCGCAGTGCATGGTGGTAACATGGTATGTACAGTAGGTACCGGTAACATGAACAGGGCACCCGAACCTGCCTACTTCCTCGCAGTGCATGCCGGTAACGTGAACAGTGGCACCTGAACCAGGGTACCAGTAACATGAATCGTGTCGCCCGAACTAGCCTACTTCCTCGCAGTGCATACTGGTAACATGAACAGGGGCACCCGAACCAGCCTCCTTCCCCGCAGTGTAAGTTTGTTGGTGTGCTTGATGTTTTGTGTTTCACAGAAACACACATCAATGATTACAGTGAAAGAGACCTGCAAGGATATCAGGTCTACCAAGGAAACACTACACATGGTATTGCTGTGTATGTTACAACAATTTTCAAGTGTCCAGCTATGTGATGTAATGTTATCTCGCAGTATTGAACAACTTCCTTTCTTGTTGGCAAGTTGTGCATTGCTTGTGTGTATGTTCCTCCAAAAGTGTCATGGACACGGTTGTCACGTTCACTCATTTCATGCAGAAACATCAGGATCTCTACAAGCAGCATGAATGTAAACATGTCCTAGTTACTGGGGATTTCAACTGTGCTCTGAGTGAAAAGCTGAAAATTGAAGATTAATGTGCGGAGAATGACTCAACTCATTCACTCTCCAACTCACTGTCTTGTAGCTACACTGAACTTGTTGCTTACTGATCATGTCAGTGCTGTAGCATTCCAGACTCCAATCTACTACTCAGAGCATCAGCTGACTGGTGCTGTTCTTCTCAGTACACCTCATGGTGATCCTTGCTCTCATTTATCTCTAAGTAAAGTAAGAACTCCCTTACTTCTCTGATTATTGTTTAAGTAATAACACAACTCCTTACAAATACAGTTACGTATTATATCATAAACTGCATATGGCAAAACAACACCAGCAATAACTTTGTTAGTGCTGCAATTACGCCATTTACAAAAAGGTCCAGTGAAAAAAGTTCACAGGAGCTAATGCATTGCACACAACGCGACATGTCAAATTGGCGGGGAATATGAGTATTTCATGCTTGTTTAGACTTGTGTTTGGTTTCTTTTGTACGGCGTGTTCTCACGGATTAGTAGCGGTAGAATCTCTTTTTTGAGCCGATGACCTTCTTGCTATGATCTTTTTCACCCATTATCAAAAATCAAAATGTTTTTGTTAACTTTGGAAATATGGTATTCCAATTGTCGGGGCCACACTTACGATTATTCTCTTTTAGCCATTTTTTTCTCCATTCGCCGTTACATGGTCATCGTCACCCAAGGCATCCATTTCTTTCCACATAGACATTCATGATAAAGATAGCACGACCATTCGTTATATTTATACGACACATGCCATACATTATGTATGCCAGACATTGTACACTTCTGCTTATTCTAGACGGTGCTACATGACGTCACCACCAAACGTGACCTTGACCCTACTTCGTGGTGTAAGGTCATCTGTATGGAGTATGATCGCCCAGTTGGCAAGTTCTACGTACAGAACAGAGACGTACAAATCGACGGTACCTACGACCCCTTCGATGGAGATAGGTACGTTGTTGTATAAATTACACAAGTGTAACGATGTGTGAAATATCAATCACATGTGATGTAATTGTTCAAACTTCTAGTAATAGAAATTAAACGTGTTTGTAAGGATCCCGATCGTTTAAATGTTCAGTGATGTTTAAGTGCCTCATCACTGTCATCACGTAAAGAAACAATGGCCAAGTTCACAAATCACATCTATTCTAGGGTCAGTTACGAGCAATGTGTCGGTTTGCAGAAGATAACTTTCTATCTAAATCCCATGCGTCGTCAATTCCTTCAAGATGGTACTTGAAACTACGGAAGCCTTTTAGGGACATTTGTTTTTTATATTCATAAAATTTCAAGATAGCAGGTTGAAATTTCAGGATACATAGGTTGGAATTTCAAGTTAAAATCTTAAAATTTCAGCTTATTGTCTTAAGATTTCAAGATCATTGTCTTGAAATGTCAACTAAGTATCTTGAAATTTCAACATAGTATCTTGAAATTTCAACTTAGTATAAATTTCACCTTTGCATCTTGAAATTTCAACTTAGCATCTTAAAATTGCAACTTCATTATCTTGCAATTTCAGGATCATTATCTTGAAATTTCAACTAAGTATGTATCTTGAAATTTCAACTTAGTATAAATTTCACCTTGGCATCTTGAAATTTCAACTTAGCATCTTAAAATTGCAACTTATTATCTTGCAATTTCAGGATCATTATCTAGAAATTTCAACTTAGTATGTATCTTGAAATTTCAATATAGCATCTTGAAATTTCAACTTTAGTTACTATCTTGAAATCTTAAGAAATAAATAAAAGAAAACAAATGGCCCTAAAAGGCTTTCGTATGAAACTGTCGTTGGATTCTTTAATTTCAGGAGATGCTTTCACAACTATACATTGCAATCAAATGATATTTTATGTTTTAAAAGAGAAATTGGATCAAAGGTGTTTCTCAAGATCATTTACTACCGATCGGCTTCAAAGTTGGAGGACGACATGAAACCAATTGAAATACCAAATACATTGTCACCGATCCGTCTTACCAACTTCCTGGTTATAAAAAAAACATTCTTTGTATTTGTATTGTGATTGTGTTAATTTTGAGGGTTATTGAGGTCATGGCTACCTTTACAAGATTATGATAAGTGAATATATTACTCATAAGGATTAATTATTGAGTCATAACTGTCAAAATGTTCTCATTTCATCGTTTCTCATTTTGACTGGTCAGTTGAAACACCATGGTTCATGTTCTTGCACTGTTGAAAACAGCACGAAGTTCTATTGTGTATTTGACATTTGACAAGAATGTGTATGGCGGCATGAGAAACTGATAGCGTTACGTTATAAGAACAGCAGGTTTATTTCAATGTAATTTCATACGATTTGCTTCATGTGTTGTTTTTTAAAAGAGCTCATTATGCTCCATTTATAGAGCCATGTTAATCAATGCCTGTCGTTACACTGAAAACATTTTTTTCACGAGAGCAAATGTGGCTGAAACATGTAACTTTCCACTACTTTATATGCTCGCCCCAAAAAATAACGCACAGGTGATCTTCTTTAGACAAAATCTGCTTATTTCGCCCAAAGTGTTTGATAACGTTACTTTACAGTGATTTCTGATTGGGTTACATCGCCCATTTGCATTGTTTGGTAATTTATTAGAAATTGTCACAAAATAAGCGTGAAATGCATGCACTTCGCACGTGGTTTTCGAGGAAATAGAGGGTAGTGTGGTATTCGTTCGGTAAGGTGTCTTCTGTTGCTTGAACTGAGAGTAAGTTTCGATATGCCATGAACTGAGAGTAAGTTTCGATATGCCATGAACTGAGAGTAAGTTTCGATATGCCATAAACTGAGAGTAAGTTTCGATATGCCATGAACTGAGAGTAAGTTTCGATATGCCATGAACAGAGAGTAAGTTTCGATATGCCATGAACAGAGAGTAAGTTTCGATATACCATGAACTGAGAGTAAGTTTTGATATGCCATGAACAGAGAGTAAGTTTCGATATGCCATGAACTGAGAGTAAGTTTCGATATGCCATGAACTGAGAGTAAGTTTCGATATGCCATGAACAGAGAGTAAGTTTCGATATGCCATGAACAGAGAGTAAGTTTCTATATGCCATGAACAGAGAGTAAGTTTCGATATGCCATGAACTGAGAGTAAGTTTCGATATACCATGAACTGAGAGTAAGTTTCGATATGCCATGAACTGAGAGTAAGTTTCGATATGCCATGAACAGAGAGTAAGTTTCGATATGCCATGAACTGAGAGTAAGTTTCGATATGCCATGAACTGAGAGTAAGTTTCGATATGCCATGAACTGAGAGTAAGTTTCGATATGCCATGAACTGAGAGTAAGTTTCGATATGCCATGAACTGAGAGTAAGTTTCGATATGCCATGAACTGAGAGTAAGTTTCGATATGCCACGACTTGACCCTGCAACTCGACTTAATTCCATCGGACGTATAGAGGCTGGAGAGTCCCAGTCGTCAGTTGCCCGTCATGTTAACGTTCACCACACTACAACACTTTGGGACTGATACCAATGGTAAGAGTCTTCAAGAGTCTGCGTAGGGTGCAAACAATACATAATCGTCTTTGGGAGTTTGGACTTCGACCCCGAAGGCCGCTTTGTCGTGCTATTCTACGACGTGAGCACAGACGTTGTCGTGTTCGATGGAACAGGCATACAATCTGAGAAACTGGACAAGAGTTTGGTTCAGTGACGAATCTCATTTTTTTACTGCAACGTCCAGATGGGCGAACCCGTGTCCACAGAGGTTGAAATGAACTTTTTGCTCCAAATTGTGTTGTCGAAGTGGATAGATTCGGAGGTGGCAGTGTCATGATGTGGGCGGCAATATCCTACGCCCGTAGGACAAACCTGGTGCACGTTTGACAGCATTACGTTACCGAGATGAAATTTGTCCAACGTCCCCTACTTTCCGTCATCGACCCTCAACAAGAGATTCTTCAGCAGGACACGTCCGACCACATGTTGCACGTGTCACTATGGTTTTCCAACTGAATCAAAACATTACTGTGCTTCCACGACCATCAAGATCGCCCGACTTCAACCCTAATGAACATCTATGGGATGAACTCGCAATGTCCGACAACGTCAACCGCCGCCTCAAACGCTTCAGCAACTTCGCTAGGCATTGCAGGGTGGATGCAGAATATCATTTCACAAATTGTAATAAAGACGACGTGTGTACATATATTCAACTGTGCGTTCTAATTTTAGGTAGTATATTACCTTTCATGAATTAGTGAATTGGTTATGATAACCAAACAATACTAACTACAGTTATTTGTTTACAGGTTAGGAATTGGAGTGTTTCGAAATCCAGAGCGATCTAGGAAGACGGAGACAATTAGGGCCTACCTTGGACAGGTGAGACCACAGTAGTCAACTTCATATCCTTACTCACTGACAAATATATGGTATGGCCTATTAGGTAACTGAACGCCAGTTTATGCTGATCTAGCTTTTTGTAGTCTGGCCATTAATCTGTGGAAAACACATTGCCAATGTCCCTTGCATCGAGTCGTGCGTTAATCCTGCTGCCTGTTATATAGACGTGTCATCACTAGTGCCGTGATGGTAACACTGCTTGTTCAAAGTATGAATACATGTCGCTTTTTATGGATAACAATTTCTTTATTTTTTTGTCACGACGTTTTAGGGCTACTTCTTTCCCCTTCAGTAGGTGAATACTGAGTGAACACTTGGTATTCACCCGATGAAGGGGCAAGAAGTATCTCTGAAATTATCTTCCATAGAACGTGTCACGTGTTCATGTTCTTCCAACTTCTAAATGCCTATGAAAGACTTGTTTAAAGTACTATTATACGTTCAATGCTGCTTGCAATTACACTGCTATATCCATGTTAAATGCTGTATTGCAGTTGTCAAATGTAATGTTCATTTAATCTCTATGTTAACTGTAATGTTCATTTGATCTCTATGTTAAATGCTTGAAGTGCGTATTCGTGTTCGTTCTTGTGTTTTCTCGCAAACACCTGGCATCGCTATTTGATAGTGATTCACAGACACAGGCTTACGATAAGTCCGAGTCGCACATATACAGTGCATATAGCTGAGATTTCTTATGAATATTGGAACGGGCTTGGCGTTTCTATTGATTATTAGTACACTATAGTATTCAATATCAATGATTATTGCGCTTTACTCTTCATTTTCAATGCTTTTCACACTATAATCTTCCTCAGTCTACAATTATATGGTATTGAAACTGTATTGATTTCAGTGTTTATTACACAGTTATCTTTGTCAGTGCTTTTTCACTATGATCGTCATGTTCAATGATAATTGTACCGTTTCTTCGTGGCAAATGCCGCAGAGATATTGCCAGAATATTACCGAAAGCGGACTCAGAGTAACATCTTATGCACTAACTCATATGACATTTTTATTGTTCTGTGTTATTTATGTTGAATGTTTATTGTACAATAATGTTCATGTTCAATACTGAACTGTATATCCATGGACCGTTATCATTGTACCACTGTCTATGCTGAATAATTATGAAAATGTAGTACCTTGCTTATAAGTATCACATCTTATACCTACACAGTGCACGTTTGTTTGTTGCTTAACGCCGCACTCAGCAATATTCCAGCTATATGACGGCGATCTGTCATAAACAAGTCTGGATCAGACAATCCAGTGATTGACATCATGAACATCGATCCATGCAATTGGGATACGATGACATGCATCAACCAAGTCAGCGAGCTGACCACCTTATCCCGTTAGTCGCCTCTTACGACAAACATAGTCGCCTTTTACGGCAAGCATGGGTTGCTGAAGACCCATTTTACCCCGGATCTTCACGGGTCCAGTGCACGTAGATGCGTACGTAATGAATAGAAACAATATCATTATATCTGGGGAACGTTTTGTCTTGTTTTAAATTAAATATATTCAACTCTACACTCAAATTATAGGCACTTACATGTATATATCTGTATCAATATTTATATGTATTACGAGTAAAAAAATTTCACTCGAAAATAACAGGAAAGATAAATTCACGACACAACGCTCCCAGATTGTTATTACTTAGAACATTGTTTTTTGGCGTGATTTTAAGTCTCGGTAGTGATCGTCTTCTCCTATTTCCAGGGCCTAGTCCTCCATCATGACACCGAGGGGAATATATGGGCAAAGCGACTATCCAACAATGACGTCATAGTTCAAGGTTATGATGACCCAGGCAATCACTCTTTGTCCGCTGACGTAATTCTGAACAAGGGAAGTCTTCCTCACGGCCATTCGATGAAGGTACATGTAGTATGCAGTGAATTCATTTGGACATGTTTCATTTGAACTTCATTGATGTTGGCATGAAGACAACGTCTTTAAGTTGATGTTCATGAACTTTTTAAAAAGACTCTATGATTAAGTTGGATCTTCTTACAAGACATTTAGTATTGCCTTACTTTAGTGATGACTTTTCGCGAACACCTGGTATAATCACTATTTGATTTTGACTCATAAACACATGCTAACGATATAGTCGGAATCGTACAATCGACACTGCTTTTAGCAGAGATTTCTATTGAATATGGAAAGGGTTTTGTCGCTTTTAATGATATAACCTATGCCCTTCAAGCAGGTCGTGTTATCTTCTTTCATTAAGGTTAATAATGATATATACCAAGTGTGTCCTTAAACCGGATCATATCATCTAACGTGAACACTTTTAAGTCTTTGAAAGGCGTGATACACATGCAAAGGCAAGTCAATTGTTCACATAAATAAATCACTGGAACATACGGTACAAGTCAAAATAGGGAACTGCGCCGGACAACAGTTTTCTGACTGATGCGTCATATTTGGAAATGTCCTCCACGTGTCAACCATAAACTGTTTTGAAAGCTTCAAGACGTACATTACTTTCATCTTGTCGTTGCTCTCTTCCAAAATTGAGCGGACACTTCATAATGTAACTGAAATACTGCTAAAAGCAGCGTAAACCTCTTCGCGAAACCTGGTGTCATCACTGATTTTCAGCAATCCATTCATATAATTTCCATCACTGTTTTGCCTTTTACGCCCAGTGGAATCTGTTTCGGCGGATAATTGAGACTGGTTATTCTGGCGTTGACGTTCCATATTAAACCCAACTCACTCACTTCTGTGTGAACAATGATTAGTGTCACAGTTTGGTTCAGCGTTGATCAGATTGATATGAAGGACACCTCGGTTATTTAGGTCAGTAATAGTCCTACACGTTGATTTCATGTTATAACTTGACCCACGGGTTGGTCATTCTATGTTTGGACCGAAATCTACATATGGTATGTATGTATGTATGTATGTATGTATGTATGTATGTATGTATGTATGTATGTATGTATGTATGTATGTATATGTGTGTGTGTGTGTGATTGTGTGTGTGTGTTGTGTGTGTGATTGTGTGTGTGTGTGTGATTGTGTGTGTGTGTGTGTGTGTGTGTGTGTGTGTGTGTGCGTGCGTGCGTGCGTGCGTGCGTGTGTGCGTGCGTAAGGTCAACATCGAAACCTGAAAGGTTATTGGACACAAATGTTCACAGCGCATGCGTTAAATTAGGCCATCCGTGTCCCCACATTGTACTACATTGGACGAATATCCAAACCGAATTTTCCAATATAGAATAAACGGTTTTGGATACGTATCCCACAGCCTACATAAATTAATCTTTATTCCGTACTCAAATATCACTTATGAATGAAAAAAGATTGTCCTGTTCAAGCAGACGTAATTTAAGTTATAATATCCGAAAGCCATCTCTCATACCGTATCAACTTTTGTAGCAACACGAAACGTATTTTTGTCCATTCACATTAAAATATATATGTACAGCATGCTAAAAAACGAATCAGTCTTACATGTAAATATGACTGTGTTCTAAATATGAAACCATGGATCACTATATGAGTATCCACTTGCATGTGTGGCAGTTAATGATGTCTTGTAGTGGTTCCGATTGAACACTTCGACGTACCAACGCGAGGCTTCATTCTGCCAGTGATAAGACCGACGTTGCCTTCCGAGTGGCCTTGTGGCTTTTCATGCTCTTGGCTTGGAGGGATTAGTGTCAGCACGATGCGACATTATGCTGCCAGAGTGGTCAACAAGTACCTTATATTATCTCCTCAAGACACTCTTGTTCACAAAAACAGGTACTTATATATGTAGTTGAACGCTGACCTAGTAACCTATGCTGTCAAGCTCAGACAGATGTTCTTTGTTTGAAAAAAGTAATGACACCGGTCTACATGTGTTTGAACCTTGCATCTCTGTGTGTCAGTAAGACCTTCAGACACATACATTGAAAGACGCACTGTACAAATACAGTTAAAGGATTTACGATGACACTGATCGGCATAAATTGTCAACGAAACGCACATTTACGTGTGTCGACAAGACGAGTACATAGAGGTTATCACGCGAGTGTGTTTGGGGATGGTAAATAACCTGCTTTAGGAATAAACAGTGTATTTAGCGAGCCTTGGCGACCCAACTCACTCAGTAAGGATTGGCTGTCAAGCACGGTAACTTGGTTGATTGCATGTTATCGTATCCCGACAGCTTGGGGCGTTGCTCATAATATCATTCACTAGTTAGGTCCAAACTCGATTATTTATGGGGCACTGTCTGATTGGTGGAATAATAATATGTGGTCCTTTAGCATTCAAACACTCGCCGACCAAAACGAAGATTAATATACGTTTGGCCAACATAACACGTGTATGTTGAGAACTGTCAGGATATGAGATATAATAATGCATGGTATGTTGGAATACGTTTGTTTGTTGTACCATGTGCATAAAGTAACCTGGGCAGGCAATTCTTTGATTGATATTACGAACAATGATCCACGCTGTCGGGGTACGATGACACATAAACCATGTTGCTAGGGACCAATTCTTACCCGGAATTCCCTTGATAATGTTATGTTGTAGGTTTTTGACATGAAAGAGTTGCGCAGCCGTATTGGCCTGGAGTTGAAGTCGCATACGTTCAACAGGACTCGTCTTCGTCATCAGACCATTGTCTGCTTCAGCTTACTGGAAGAAGAGAAGACAATTCTGGACACTCCATGTTGGCTTTGTGTGGTCAACATCCACGCGCTCAATGCCCTGGAGACGCCGGATGGTAAGTTGGTGAGTGAGTTGGTGAGTGGGTGGGTGAGTGGGTGAGTGAGTGGGTGGGTGAGTGAGTGGGTGAGTGGGTGGGTGAGTGGGTGAGTGAGTGGGTTAGTGAGTGAGTGGGTGAGTGGGTGAGTGAGTGGGTGGGTGAGTGGGTATATGGGTGGGTGAGTGAGTGGGTGAGTGAGTGAGTGGGTGAGTGGGTGGGTGAGTGAGTGGGTGAGTGGGTGAGTTGGTGAGTGAGTGGTGGAGTGGCTGAGTGAGTGGCTGAGTGGGTTAGTGGGTATGTGAGAGGGTAAGTGGGTGGATGAGTGGGTAAAAGGGTGAGTGAGTGGGTTAGTGGGTGAGTGAGTGGGTAAGTGGGTGAGTGAGTTGGTGAGTGGGTGAGGTTGTGTGTTGGTGGGTCAACATGCCAGCAATATCATTATCACGACAGTGAACATCAAAAATTGGCTTCACACAAGTGTATCCACGTGAGAATCGAACTCGTTTTGACGAGCAAACACCTTAACCAATAGGCTACTGTACGACCTTGCATATATATTGTATTTAGTATAAAGAATCATGTCAGTAGCTATTTAAGTTTATGATTTGTCCCTGGCACTCACTTGGTTAATACCGCTCAATCATTCCAAGGTAAATAACACAATGAATAACGCTGGATTCTGAAACAGACAAGTCAGATGTTTGAAATCGAGTCATGGTGCAAATTTACTATTTCTTTTCATTAAACAATACCTTAATATTCTTCTTCAGTGCTGTCCCAGGTAGAGAAAATGATGGCCCAGGCAGAGCTCCGTACTGAGGACGAAGACCTGAAAGACGAGAAGTCCCATGATGCCAAGGCCAGGGTATGTAGCTATGATATCGATGAACATATCTGCTCCAAACCCTATATAGCTCCGGGGGCACGGGTGGCCCAGTCGTCTAAGGCGCCGCGATTCGCTGTGCAGAGTTGCGTCCCTTAGGCACGCCAGAAACCAATGATTGTGGGTTCGAATCCCGGTTCGCCCCGATTATGTTTCTAGGTTTGTCAGCACCATACCCGTGCTCGTGGGTTTCACCGAAGTGGTAAACGTCTGAGACCTGCATCACTTAGGGCTTTCCTCCCACATTAAGCTGACACGCCGCGATATAACTGGAATACTGTTAAAAGCTGCGTCAAACCCAACTCACTCACTCTCTCACTCACTCACTATATAGCTCCACCTCGTTGGTAGTGTTTCCTACTCTTGAAGTTAAAACCCATACTAACTGTTTTACTCGCTTGCCTTGTGGTATCTTTGTCCGTTGTACAGCGTCCATGTAAACATCTTTATCACGGGACCGACGTAGCTGAAACTTAACATACTTGTTCCAACCAATGTTGACACTCCAATTTGTTCAAGAGGTGTTCGAATCCGATTTCATATCGGTGAACCTATGTATGGTCATTAATTACCAATTGGAATGAAATTTTGTAAATGTGTAGTTAGTTGTAGGGCTCAACATATGTGCTCTTTTCACGATGTTATACATTTAACCTTTGCACTTTCATCATGCTCCTAAATTCTTCGGGTGGCCCAGTTGTCTAGGGCCCGCAAGTCGATGTGCAGAGTTGTGATTGAGGGTTCGAATCTTGATTCGCCCCAATTATATGTGTCTAGGTTTCACCAAAGTGATCAACATCTGAGACTTGCGTCACTTGGGGCTTTCCTCCCACATTGAGCGGACACGCCTTGATATAACTGAAATACTGTTCAAAGCGGCGGTAAATCAACCTCGCTCACTCCTAAACTCTTTCAAAGTTTTCGCGAACTATACACATGATCTCATCATAAACCAGTGAACCAGTGAATTTGAGACTAGTTTGATTACATTTGATTTCTCTCCATTTTGTAAAAAGACATCCCCGTCAATATAGCCACTTCCAACCATATTAAAATGTGTCGTCAAAATGGAATGCCATGGTTAGCAGTAGGGCTGAACATATTTGTAGCGTTTTTGTGGTATTGTAAATGCTTACCTTGTTTTGACTATGCTCTGTAATATAACCACTTAAGAGGCACAATTATATTGTCTCTGTTAACATCTTCTTCCCTGAAATACAGACTGAGGGAGCTGAAATGTCTTTGTCATTTATGTTTCTAAATTAAATTTTGTTCAAATCATTTGATTTTCGTATTAATTTTATACTTCAGTATTTGTGGTTAATTATTTTTGAATATGAATGCTGATATCAACATGTTTTCAATGTTTGACACATAAATCTGTTGACTACATATCCAGGTGGGCTACACTGCCTCGCGGCACTGTTGAATAAATGTTGCAAATAATATAATTATAAACAGCTTGGAAGCTCAAACGTATACATGGCAGAAAATAAAAGTAACTATACTTTTCGTAAAGCCAACTGGTTGTCCAGCTTAGAGTGGTGTAACACATATCCCTGTGATATTCATGTGAGGAGAGGTGAGGTGAAATGGGGTTAAACGTCGTGTAAGAGATTATTACACTTAAATAGGAACGTGCATGCACGTGTGTGTGTGTGTCTGCTTTTACTAGTCCGGACTGATGCCGATTTACAGTGTTAGCTCACTGAGATACCATGCCGCAGTCTTAACATGAATACCCCACTCAGCACACAGTATACTGACCCCGAGCCGACCAGTCCTTGTTTTAGCCCTTTAATGCCGAGCGCCAGACAGGGTAACAAGAAGTACCATCTTTTGGTATGACGTGGCCGGGGGTCGAACCCTTGACCTTCCGCTCTCCGGGCGGCCCGTCTACCACTAAACCACGGAGGCGGTCTTATATTCATGTACATGTTATACCTGTTGTGTTACGACCGCCAATACACCCACACACCCTTTGTTTGCACAGCGTCTCAGGACACAGTGGTCGAGGACAGATCAGAGAGAGGGTTTTACTCAAGGAGAATCATCAAGGAAGCTTCGGATCGCCCTGAGGAAGAGAGGGGAAGACATAAAGAATCACATGGACTACAGCTGGAACACAGATAGACGAGGTGTGTACAGAATACCAGTAAATATCCAAATCCTGAAGTATTGGGGACAAAAAGGTCATAAAGAATCAAAGGTTGGGTAAAAATCATATGATACCTGACTGAATATCAGTTATGTCATTAATTAATCTGTTTTGTTGTTTCGAAACGCAACCTTCATAATGTAATTTAAGTTTTCGTCGATCATCATTGAATCTTTCAATGTCTGATTTGATCACACCGATAACTAGATCAGTAGACATATTAAACATTCTCAAGTGTTGAATTATCTGTTAAGTATTCGTAAGCATATACATATATTAAACAAACTTAAGTATTAAAGTTGTAAAAGAAAGATGATAAGCACATGTGCTTATCTCAACACCTAAATGATCTTAAACGTAAGGTACATGTATGTTGGACATGATTAAAAGCAATGAATCATGTCACGCGTTCTTTAGCGATGACGTTGTAAGGAAATATCAGTATGTGAACAAGACGTTGAGTATAAGATCGGTTCTACTGTGGACTTTGCATACACATTTTGTTGTTTTCCCCACAAATCAAGCTGTCTGGCCTAATGTGAAAGGAAGGGTGATTATAAATATCAGTTTGTAAACGAAAAGGTAACAGCGGTTTCCACACGGATGTTGAGTTCATGGGGTAAATAGACCAGTTTCTTTCAGTTGTATTGCGACCTTAAAATCTTAAAATCTTTCAAAACAAGCAGGTGTATGAGTGAGTGAGTGAGTGAATGAATGAGTGAATGAGTGAGCGTGTTTGGGTAAATACCACTCTCAGCATTTATATCGCGGTGTGCCAGCTTGATGTGGGAAGAAAGCCCCACGTGACGTTTACCAGTTTGGTGAAACCCACGAGCACGGATATGGTGCTGACAAACCTAGAAACATAATCGGGGCAAACCTGTATTCGAACCCACAGCCATAGGTTTCTGGCAAAGAAAACATAGAAACCAAACTGGAATAGAAACAACGATCAAAGGTTCCTGGAAATCAATGCTTTATGAAAATAATAAATGAGAAAAAATATTTCAATCAGTGTCAAAATGAAGTTGTGATGATGCCAGGTGTTCGCGAACAAGTGAACTTATCCTGCCCGTCGGTGGCAAAACGGGTTTAACATGCACGTGGCGCATCAAAGAGTTCATACTGCCCTTTAGGAAACTCGGGTTTTGATAGGGATTCATGCGTGGCTTGCTAAGAAGGTGTTTGATCAAGGTTACAACATTCAAGGCTTCAGTAAAGTTTTCAAAACGTTTTATGAAATACTTGTGGAGGGCATTTCCAAATATGACGCATCACTCCCAAAAAATTATGTCCGATGCAATTCCCTATTTTGACTGTTCCCGAGTTTCTTAAAGTGGACAATTGACTTGCCTTTGCCTGTGTTTGTGACGGGTGCCATCGGTAGGGCAGGATACGCTCACCTTTTCGCAAAAACCTGGTGTCATCACTATTTGATAGTGATTCGTGATCCATAAACACATGCTCCTGATATAATCGGAATCGTACAATCGACTTCTGATGAATATGGAAAGTGTTTTGTCGCTTTTTTCACAACTTGACATAGCAGGGTTATCTAGACTATATATATATCCAGTTGTGGATACTGTTAAACAATTAACAATATTTAAACATGTGTAAATTCCAATCCTCCTGCGACAAAGGACGACAAACTGAGATAGATAACTAAGGAAAACGTGTCCATCTGTTTCTGTGAAATCGAATAATAATACCAGGTGTAAAGGACATCTTAATGCTTGACTATACTCATTTGGTCCTGAAAGACAGATTGCACAATACGACGGTAGTACCATTTTACATCTTAATGTCCACTTTATTTTCACTCAGAACCATTAGTAAAGACACCGTGATGCTTTCGTGACATTGCCAATGTTGAGACATTTGGACTTCATTTCAGGAAGCTCCTCACAAAAACAAATGACTGTAGACTCTCTCCAAGAACAAGTACTAAGAGACCCTGACGGTGGATTGGATGGCAGAAGATCAGGTAACTCACTTAAATAATAACTCAGTGACCGGATATACTGCGAAAGGGTAATCGTTTTACTGAAATTGTAACTTCATTCTCATAGAGAAAATATTCAGCTGTGAAGTTTTTCGACAGGTGTTCAAGTTCATTTGTTTCAGAGCAGTTTATTTTTCCAGAAGCATTTAGAATAGTCATATATCATGAAAATGTATACATTATTAAACACAATACACTATCATACTGATTGTCTTACATATAAAACGATCCGTACATAGCACGTAAGTGATGAAATCGATTTTGATACAAACTGATTATACTTTAAAGTAGTGCATTCATTACATGTTTAAGATCTATGTTTATAAAGTACTCAAGCATTTCAATAAATACTAATTGTAGAATATTAGCGGAAAAAAGTATTGCCGTGGATGTATTCCTTGATATATCTCAATTTGAGGAACACTTTCGCATTACAGCCGATGGTTCAACTACAATATACTCTAAGGTCACGTGTACCTAATTATTGTATATGATGCTTTATATCCAAATGTGATACCTAAAACGACATGGCACTCATTCTTCGTGAATTTAGTTCCGATACAAGCATCGACGATTCAGAGTCTTACTCATATGAACAAACACACACTGAAAATATTTTTGTTTTGATAAGTTATCCCAAGCATTGTAATTGGTCTGATATTGGTGATTTAGACATATACTACGAAAAAGGGTTGACGACTACCCGATTCTTTCATCGGGTCTGATTAACTTTAGTAATATGAATGAATCGGGCGGTCCTTATCTTTTTTGAGTAGTATATGTCAATACAGTAAAAAGTGACAAAATGTCCTGTGCATTACCAACCATATTCTATATATATGAAAAAAGTGTACAAATTGTTATTCTATGCACATAGTATATTGCATTATATACACTGGTAACTTGTACCTCTGTCACACCGACAGGTGCACACGCCAGCAACTAGTTAGCATACTGGAGTACAGGAATGTTAACCCAGCTCGAAATCTCAATTATGACGAGAAGATGGTTAAGCTCATTCATTTTCACAGAATGAGGTGAAAGTGCACGAGACCCACGTGGTTGTTACGACATGCCACATGTCAGTTGACACGAGAGAACATATTGCCTTTTTGAATGTTAATATTGTCCACTGAGTTCAAGGCAAACGTTCCTTTTGATCGGGTATACGACACATTTCACCACCCGGAGAAATTGGTCTGTCCCGCCAAACATTTTCAGAGGGGTCATATGTCAGGTCTGGTTCTTCTCTTCTTTGTCTACCGGTAGAGTGCGCTTGGAGAATTGGTTCTTCATTTTGGGCCGAAGAAACATGGTCTGAAACCAGGGCCTGACAAGCCGTCTACCTTCCAGATACTCAATCACTTCTGTAATTCCACCACAGTCTTGTAAATTAAATCCAGCCGATTAAGATGACAATTTGACCCACTAATGCGAGCAGTCGTTATTTAACTAACCACTGCACCTGAGCAGTTTTCGACTACTAGATCATTTTACCACACAGTGATTTGGGCCGTGAGCATTCAGAAAGGAAATTGCACGTCCTTTGTGCCCCTGGGAGCCGACTCGGTGGACAGGTGTCACTCTGTCAGTGTCTGCAAGATCCCCCTCCCCCAAAACACACATCTGGTTTTCCAGCACACTGGGCCAAAAGGCTGTATCGTACAGGATCAGATACTACCTACTTAGCACTGGAGGCACAGAAGTCTTCACTGGATGTTTGGCGTTGGCTGGAGACTGTCAGGTCAAGCAAAAGCTGTAATAAAAAATGACCTCCGGACATTACGTTATTCTACGTCGCAGTTATATCTATTATTCATGTATTTCTAATCGCATTTGAATCGTAACTCCCAAGGGTTCCTGACAGTTTGCTTGTTGGTGGGGAATTGTTTGCCGTAAGACACATGTATCTCACAGAGAGTTTTTGTTGGGCTCATTAATCCCTCGAAATGTTTTTGGTACGAAGCTAACCGCAACTCTCAAATAATGAAATGTGTGCATTCAGATACCAAAACGTGGCAGCTAGTCCACTATATATGAAAAAGGTGGCCATTGGGAGAGCCCAATCATAACTAACCTTGAGAAGCCAAATGTTATATACACACCTGCAATGAAATCCTGCAATGTCAGTGTTACATACCGGCATACCCGTGAAGATCCGTTGTAAAATAGGTCTTCAGCATCCCATACTTGCCGTAAAAGGCGACCAACGGGATCGCGTGGCGAGGCTCGCTGACTTGGTTGATGTATGTCATCGATCCCAATTGCGTGGATTGATGCTCATGAAATCAATCACTGGATTGTCTGGTCCAGACTCAACTATTTACAGACCGCTGTCATACAGCTGGAATATTGCTGAGTGCGGCGTTAAACAACAACAACAACAACAACAACCAACCAACCAATTATATCCGGCAACAGAGCGTAGTGGGTAACACTACAACAACTGTACATTTGCGCAACATGATCTGTTTAGAGTTTATGAACGAGTGGCAATACTGGTGTACGTCATGGAAATGAGATCATCACACCTATTAGCATTCCTCTAGGCACTCATAGGTATATCCTGATGGACGACTATTCCCGTCCACATTGAGCACACATCCAAACAATTGAATATGTTACGCAGGGCCTCGTTTATGGTCGCCATGTTAAGATCCTGACTCGTGAACATCTTGGTCAGGACGTTAGTGTAGGGTGGTAAAAAGTCCCCAGTAGCTACTTGATCGTCTCATTTGGTCAATGCCACGACGTGTACAAGCTTCCATTCGCGCCAATGTTTGGCAGTCGCATTACTGAATCTTGTACGGCCATCGTACAATGATTGATTTGAAATGAATGTGGCGGTTTTCCCGACCCATGCATGGACACCTTTTTGCAGGATGTTCTCAAAGTTGGTTTCGTTATGGTTCTACTTTTCAACTACTTTGGGGTATTTGAAAGGATACATTCAGTTTTTGTAAGTAAGTCAGCACATTACTGGTTTTATTTGGTTCAGATATATCCATCGGCTCCACAAAACAAATACTGTAAGAATCCGAATGTTAGTCGCGGTTTCATCAAGCCATGTGCTTGACAGGCTTAGACCCAGGTTGAACCTTCACATGTCACTGTGATCAGATGTGTGAACACATATCTACATGTTATCAAGGTGCACTCTCTCTTTACACTGGAAGTTAGCCTCGGATGGCCAGGCTCAACCCATCAGACATTACGTTGTTGGCATTTTTTCGATGACAAAATGAAATCATGTTTCCCTTGATTTAGGTCCGACGTCGCCTATCGGTACCGGTAAAACACGTGAGTGGGCCAAGGTCAAGGTGACAGTAAAGACGTCAATGGCTAAAGAAGAAAGCGAGATGGATGCAATGATGAAATCCAGAATGTCAAGATATTAAAAAGAAATTGTATGTGAAAGATCAATTGAATGTCAAAACGTGAGTAAGTTATAAGCAGCGATGGTTCCTGTAGTTCAAACTGTCAAAAGTAAGGCACTTTTTATGATGGCTTGTTGATCTGTGAAGAAACGCGGGCCCAGGAAGAATATTTTAGGTTCTCACTGGATATCTCTCATTTGATGTTATTGAGTATTACAATACCAACATTACCGTATGCAGTATACAAATATGTACAACATTCAAATGTTTAGGATCAGTTACGCCGATCGCTTAACATTCATACACGTGAAGCATCGTAGACATGTTCCGCATCTCTTTCTATCTGTCTGTTGACATTGCACATGTGGCTTCTTGTCGTGGTATTTGTGACAATACCATTGTTCATTATAGGTATGACAATCTCCCTCATGTTCATCATATATGTCAATATCTTTAAATGTAAATCATATGATGTCAATCTCTTTAAATGTAATCATGTATGTCAATATCTTTATATGTTCTTCGTGGGTCGGTCGGGTAGCCTAGAGGTTAAAGCGTTCGCCCGTCACGCCGAAGACCCGGGTTCGATTCCCGACATGGGTACATTGTGTGAAGCCCATTTCTGGTGTCCCCCGCCGTGATATTGCTGGAATATTGCTAAAAGCGGCGTAAAACCATACTCACTCACATTATATGTTCTTCGTCTGTATGTCAGTCTCCTTAAATGTTCATCATATATGTCAATCTTTAAATTGTACATCGTAAATGTCCCTCTCTTTAAATATACATCGATCTCTTGAAATTGAAGTTTGTCAATTATTTGAAATGTGCATCATCTATATGTCCATGTCTTTAATGTGTTTCACATATATGTTCATATCTTTAATGTGCATCAATGTATGTCTATATGTTTAAATGTACATCGTATGTAGGTTTGGGGTATTTTAGGTACATGTACGTCCATATCTTTTCTGCACGATTTCGTCACGGTTCCCAGTACGTGGTCCGAGGGATACTTTTACACAAAGATTGAATCGATTCCCCTTAATCCACGTGACTGCTTTGAGCAAGGTGGCTCAATTGTCTGCCATCCGACGTTCACTCTGTATCTCTTCTGCCCGCCTGCCCGGAGAGACATAGCCATCTTGGGGTTAGAGGCCCAGAGGGCCACATGCAGGTCTATGTATAGAGGATATCACTGATAGTGTGGTCTTGAATCTGTAGAGGAGTCAAGTATTGCTTTAACCTCTACCAGTGCGGTTGTATTGTTATGTGGAAACCCCTTAAAATGACTTTATGTCGATCATTGATCTTTACTGAAGACAGTAACATGTCCTTAAATCAGTGTGAATGAACATCTCGGCTTTCGTATTACAGTTTAGCGAAATGTCTAATATGTGGCAAATACCTCTACAACTGGCAAATAGTCTCGTCACAAAATGACTCTTAACAACGAGCCCACTATTTGTATTGATTGTGTTCCAAAGCAGACGGCTTCAAAGAAGCCAAGCCAATATTTGATTTCCTGTTATAGAGGTTCCGAAATCTGCCCCATACATAATAGCCGTTCCTTTGCAATGAAGCATTGTAGTGAATATGGAATATTACATGCGTAACATGCATCGCGTGTGAGGTGGAATTAGAGCAATATTTCGTGCGTATTATCTTCTTTACTTTACTAATTTGCAAAATATGATAACTGACAATTGGTTCAGTATTGGCAATGTGACGAGGGACACAAATACAAATGGGAGTTTTACAGACCTATGCAATAATGTTCAGATATCTATTAATCTGTCCATCTATTCAGACAAATGTTTATACATATACACGTCGGCCATTATGTTCATGATGTATTCATACAGTAGCCGCAGCACAACCATGTCTATTGACATCTATTCAGAATGTGTTGAAACATTTAGTTTTATGTCATATGACTGACTGGATAAATTAATGGATATTCTCATCGCATGACGAATTCATATATATATATATATATATATATGGTTTAAAAATAAACGATTTACACACTGTGATGCGTATCTTACATTATTATAAAAATGCTATGTCATGTACTGTTCACATTTTCTCTACGTTTGCACCATAAATCTTGATAAAACACACTATGTCGACCATCAATTCATCGTCCGTGCCGATGTCGATTGGAAACTGTTATCCTTGATAAATGGAACAACGTATGTTTGGAAGGGTAACACACATGTAAAAAAGGTAGAGTTAAAGTCGTCCTGTTCAAAAGAAGAATAAAAAACCACCAGTCGTCTAAGACCTCATGAATCTTTTGACATTCATGATGGAAGCAATATGCGGTCAAGGTTAAAGTGATCCAAGATCAGGTAAACACTGATCACAATTATCACTATCTGCGCGTGGAAATCGAGGTATGAACACATTGTTTCAAACCTCATCAACAGCAGCAGATGAAACGTTGGCACGTTGAAACAATGCGATTCTGATCACTCAGTGTTTGTTCCGTTAACTTTGCTCAAAGACCCTGATGGCTCTTGGGCGACAGGCAAGGAAGGTACAGTGTTACCTTGAATTGAGTAACAGGGTGATGGTGTCACGCCACTCACGAGAGGATCCCTTTATTGCCTTATACGTTCGCAATAGCATGTCTAACAAGAGGCAGCCGTTCCTGACGTCCAACAATTTGTATACCAGTCACAACTCATCGTGAACAAGATCGTTTGCAATACTGAAGACGACATCAGCCTGATTTAGAAATGTGGTCAATGCCTTTATTCAGCAACAAGGCATAAGCCGATGTCCGCTCCTGACTTTAGCCCTATTGTATATTTCTGGGCTGAACTTGCGACAGACGTCACACAGTGGCACATGGGATTCTGCAAAGAACGTCATACGTGAGTATATAATTATGAACCTAGTGAGGAGAGTGAGTGAGTGAGTAAATTTTTACGCCGCTTTTAGCAATATTCCAGCAATATCACGGCGGGGGACACCAGAAATGGGCTTCACACATTGTACCCATGTCGGGAATCGAACCCGGGTCTTCGGCGTGACGAGCGAACGCTTTAACCACTAGGCTACCCGACCGCCCCCTAGTGAGGAGAATGTCAAACCGTATTTCCGTAAGTCAGACTATATCATAAGTATGTGTTTATTAATCACTATCAATTAGAGATGAAAGCAGGTGTTTGCGAGAAGGTGGGCGTATCCTGCCCTACCGGTAGCACCTGTCACACATGCAAATGCAAGTAAATTCACGTATGGTACAAGTGAAAATAGGAATTGCATCGGACATGATTTTGGTCACTGATGCGTCAGATGTGTAAATGTCCACATGTCTAGTATTAAACGTTTTGAAATCCTTACTAAAACGTGGATTAACTACAGGGGCACGAGTCGCTTTTCGGCTTGTCCCGGAATATATATAACACGAGTTGGTCACGAATGCTTTTCATACGGTCTTGTGGATGCAGTCTTTATTATTACTCTGAACCTTCATGTCCAGATCTAAATATGGAACAGATGAGTCGGTCACTTTTATTTCTAGTTCAGGTTGGTAAATCAGTGGGACAATTATTGAACGATATCAGATGCTTGAATTGAACTCATTGGCCAAATTGCCAATTCCGATTCATATCATGCATACAGAAACATGATCAGCAAGGAGGGGAACGTAATTGATGCCCATGGAGATGCCTACTTCTTGCCTAAATGTTCTATCCCCAAATTTCACATGGATGTTACCTGTGAGGACGTTCAGCTATGGGATCAGAGTGAGTGAGTTGGGTTTAACGCCGCTTTTAACAGTATTCCAGTTATATAACTACGTGTCAGCTTAATTTTGGAGGAAAGCCCGAAGTTATGCAGGTCTCAGACGTTTACCACTTCGGCGAAACCCACGAGCACGGGTATGGTGCTGACAAACCTAGAAACATCATCGGGTCGAACCGGGATTCGAACCCACAATCACAGGTTTCTGGCGTGCCCAAGGGACGCAACTCTGCACAGCGAATCGCGGCGCCTTAGACGACTGGGCCTTCCGTGCCCCATATGGGATAAAAAATAGGACAGGCTACACAACACACAGACTATCTACAACGCCCTAAAATCTCGGTTCCATACTCATCTTTTGCAGATGAGGCATCTCATACACGGAGTCTCAAAGCGTAAACTAATTATTGTAAAGGATCACCCTGAATAACTGTGATTACTACATATTTTACTGTATGATATTTTCACCTTTCACAGTTCTTGTCGTGTTGCAAGGGAGCGTTATCGGTTCAAATCACGGGCTCGCCTCGATTATCTTGTCACAGGATTTCTGGTCTATCGATCACTGATTGTCTGGTTTGTTTACAGGCCGCCCTCGCATGGTAGGAGTACTGTATGGCGTCAGGCAATAAATTGGTACTTTTTATGCATATTGTGTGAGTGGCGCGCTACCGGTAAGGCAGGGCGTGCTTATCCTTTTCGCGAACATTTGGTGTCATTGATTTTCAGTGGTCCGTTCATATGATTTTCACGCCAAATGGAATCTGTTTCGTCGGATAATCTAGACTGGTTATTTTCGTGCATTGTCAATTTAAATATATATGATGTGTCAAAACCACGTGATCCTGGTTCACTAAAGAAAACGACTACAACCTACTTTTGCGTGTTCTTCAACATCCAGCTGGAATAAAACTGAAATAACCAATTTGTTCAAAGCGAAAGTAAAGTACTTACAGAGCAGATAAGGTATACTGGCCTCCTAAGGTCCCTAGGGCGTCGAAATTCGATTCTTAGAGTTGTGTCCCTTTAGCGTGCCAGGAAACCATGATCGTTGGTTAGAATTATTGCTCAGATCTGTCAGCACCGTACCATTGCTTGTGGTTTCTCAAAGGTAGTAAGCGTCTTCAACCTGCATCCCTACGGGCTTTAGCCTCAAGCTAACACGCCATGATATAATTGAGTGAAGGAGTATGGCTTTAGATCGCTTTTAGGAAATCTCAGCAATACTGCTGCGGGGGACAGCAGAAAAGGGCTTTGCATAGTGTAGTCATGTGGAGAATCGAAACCGGGACTTCGGTGTGACGAGCGAACACTTTAACTACAAGGCGACCCGACCGCCCCTGATATATTTGAAATACAACTCACTATTAGAACACAGATAATGAATCACAATGGACGTTGTGGGCTTAATGGTGTTGTAATAGAAGATGGGAGATGACCTGCTGGTCCTAGACCTCCCTTTCTTTGATCTGTGACCAGACCTGGAACCTGTCAGAGAATAAGTGTCTGATCTGTCTTCGCCCAAACCGGATTTATGCCATAATGGCTACGAAAACACCTGACCCAGCCCACTGAAATAGCAGTCGGTTTGAGAATCGATACCCTTCCTAGACTCCATTAGAGGTACACATTTGGACACTTCCTGGGATAAAACGATCCTGTATAATAAAGATGAGCGGTGATGCACACGGTATGCTAAAAAAGTGAAGGTACATCCACGTCAAATCCATAAATTGTTCCTCAGATACGTTGCTACTTTATGTTCCGCTCCTTATGGTGAGTGTGTTGTTTTTTAACCCCGCACTCACCCATATCTGGCATGGCGCAGAAACGCAACTCTCAACTTCAAATTGCAGCACATTTGACGAATCGGGCTTCCTTGCACCACCTTTTCACGATAGACCAGGATAGTTCAACTGACAATAAAAACGTCAGACCAAAGAAACCATATCTCTACAAAAGGACACTTTAAAAAGGAAGTCTTTCTCGAGCGGTTAATAGTTTCAGATACCAATGGATGCTACATAATTCCGAGTTGTGTTTCCAAGACATTTGAAAGAAATTTGCCCCATCTTAACCGATATGGAGAGCGTACACCAACTTCAGGGGACTTACCAGTGACGGTTCTTTATCACAGACTGTTTAGTCACGTTGTTGTGTCACAGTGCTAGCACGCCAGCGCCACTTTCCCCAAAGCGATCTTAGCGCTACGACTATCGTAAGTTTAAGTGTGGGAGTTACGATCATCATCGCGCTAAGATCACTTTGTGCAAGTGACCCCAGGTCTGTGGTGGCACGTTTTACCATGTATTGTTTGAGTACAATAGTGTAACACGGATATCGTTTATCCCTTAATTCTGATCAGTAGTCTACTCAATACATTTGACAAATTAGTTCCAATAATAAAATAGAATGGTACACTGGATGTGTCTTAAAATAATTCTAATTTTCATTTTTTTAAATTATTCATTCAAAAAACCCCGACAAAGCCCTTTCCATAATCATAATAAATCTCTGTAGAAAAGCGGGCTTCATTGTATACTTTCGTTGACTCAAACATTTAGAGTTTAAAATAACCATTTGGTACATTAATCTTATTAAAATCTTATAAACCATTGACGTACGTGGCACTGTAAGCATAATAAATATTGTAATCGCAGAAAACACCATTGACTTGGACGAGAAGTTTTATATGACATATGCATGTGTTCAAACCACATGTGTTTATTTCACAATTACATTCAAATTGACAAGTAAATCACTGGTAAACAAAACGTGAAAATATAGACAACACTTCATCATAATGCAGTATGAGAAAATATAGAATGTTCAAAATGTTAACGGTAAATCTTTAAAACACATTGTGCAATATAAATCATATGATCTGTATCAAATCTTATTATAAATAATTGAAAAGCATTTGGTGATATTCACACAACAACCTAAATGAAAAACTCATCATCTACGCCAAGAGCGGGAGTGAATGTCAAGTTGACTCCATCTGGCTACTGGGATCTGACCCAATTCACACTTTGAGAGAAAGTGTACAGTTGGTACACTTTAGTCTTTTATAACGTCCATTAATCATCGAAAATGAACTTCACGTGACCTTAATGAGTTCTGGGGCGGTCGGGTAGCCTAGTGGTTAAAGCGTTGAACTTCGCTCGTCACGCCGAAGACCCGGGTTCGATTCCCGACATGGGTACAATGTGTGAAGCCCATTTCTGGTGTCCCCCGCCGTGATATTGCTGGAATATTGCTAAAAGCGGCGTAAAATCATACTCACTCACTCACTCACTCACTTAATGAGTTCTGGCTAATATTTGTTTGAAATCCTGTCTTTAATGTCCAGCCAGGTAGGTGACTTTGAAAACTAGTTTTGTTGTGAAGATGCTTACCCGTAGCTTTCCCTTTCGTAATGGTGTTACGAGAAACAATACCAATAGAGTAGAATATATACTCTTACAAAGACATGGGGATCATGGAGTATAAACGTTAATACCAAGTATTAGAACAAAGATAATTGTTGACAACAAACATCCTACGCAAGAACGTTTATATGTGTTAACACCAAAACTCATCCCATAGTTTGCACATGCCGCACGCTGAAGGGTGTAATTCAAAGTCAAAAGAAGTTTATTGTACAAAAGGCTTCCGGCCTATGAACGAGAGATTATACAATTCCTGATTTTGACATTTTCAAGGAAGGTCGTTGAATCTCTGTGGATCATTATTTCTCTCAATCTGATTGATTTTGCTTCTCATATAGTTATGGTTTACTTGATTTCATTAATTGTTAATTAATTATGAACGAGCGATGCGGCGTCTGCGGGCTCTTGGCATGCTGGAGACTGGCAGGAGATAGTGTGCAGTGGCCAATACGTTCAACGTTTCACAGTCTGCGATTGGCAGGCTATGGAACAGGTACCAACAAATCCAAAATGTTGTCGATTGATCCCGTTCAGGGCCTCTCGGGTCAACAACAGGAGTACATGATCGATTGATCCGAAATTAGGCTCAACGAAGTCGAGCTCAAACGGCGAATCAAAGCACTGAAAACTTTCACTAGACTACTGAAGTACGAGTTACATGGCAGTCGACTAGAAATCGACTACATGCAGCTCAACTCCATGCTTGACGGCCACGTGCTGTCCCGCCCCTTACAAATCGTCATGTTGCCAACAGACGTCAATGGTGACACAGCGTCAATACGGGTAATCGTGGTCATATTTTCAGATGGGTCCCGATTCACTTTGCACTTCCTTGATAGGCGTGGTCGTATTTTGCGACGTCGAACTGAGCGTAAACCCATTGCTAACCTGAGACCACATGACATATTTCGCTCGGTTATGGTGTGGGGTGGCATCAGCATGACAGGGCGAACCCCACTCCATATTGTGCACGGAAGGGTCACTGGACAATACTATCGGGACAACATATTGTCACCCTTTGTTATCCCGTTTGCAAGGCGTGGGGAAGACGTTTTGTCATCCAGGACGACAACGCCCGGGCTCACCGTGCTCAAATGGTCAATTGTCACCAGCACAACCTGCACAGAATGTCATGCCCAGCAATGAGCCAAGATTCCCGTGTGCGTTAACGTCATAGGCCGCCGACCATGTTGGCTGAACGTGGCTAGGAGCGGCGAGAGGCGTGAGTGAGTAAGTTTCGACACCAGAAATGGGCTTCACATATTGTATCGGGAATCGAACCCGTTTTCGGCGTGACGAGCGAACGCTTTAACCACTAGGCTACCCGACCGCCCCCCAAGAAGAGTGGGAGAGCAACACGCAGTGTGCCTCGTCAAGTGAACTGTTATTAGAAACTAATATCTCTTACAATTTTGGAATTTTTTAGGTATTTCCGATTCCCTACCGATGAGTATATGGTACATTCGACTTTTCCAGAAGTGGTCATATGGTCATAGAACATTTTCTTAGATCATAAATTATTCCCTCAAAGGATTCATTATTCCCTAATATCATTGTGGTTAGATTCAAATTACCCCTTGTCTTCTTTGGAAAAACATGTCATGTGACTGGATTCAAAATGCCCCTTGTCTTCTTCAATGGAAAGACATGCATGATATGTTCCAGACCAATAATTAACATAGTGTATAAATACATTTTATGTAAACAAGTTACAAAAGAGTTTACAAAAGGGGACATTTAATATGTATAACATGCCCTCAAAATCAACCACTTGTTGAATGGAACGAAGCCATTCGGATCAGTTTGGGTTCAGCTTCACAATTGTCCAAAATCAACATCCCAGCGATGGCGAACAGGACGCGTCATTTTCGTGCCACAGTCGCGATAGTGTGAAAGGGTGTTGATGAACAACACACATAACAAATGTTTCCATGATATCGACAGTGCTGCGAAATGTTCGCGAGACTATCGCGATATGTAGGACGTACATTACGGATATAGCCATAAAGCATAATAAAACTCTGTGATATGCAAATGTGTTTTAAGGTTAGTCAGTTCTGAACTTTGGAACGTAATGACACCTAATCAAATTATCAATTTGATTATCGATTTTCAACGAAATTCCACGGATGTTTACTTTAGTATCTGAACAAACATTCTTCCAAAAAACAACTTCCTTCAATTTGATGTTTTCGCTGACCAACAACATGTAACAACACGTAACAATATTCTAAGTAACTGTACAGCCTCTACTTTTGTCTCGAAGGCATAACTGCCAGAATACGTTGTTGATAGAAACCCGACACACTTAAGTTATTTACTGGTATCTTACACAATTACTTTACCGATTTAAACACACGGCTATTTGGCAGGAAGGAAACCACTTCAGGAATTATAACCATCAACATAAACTTGGGGGTTTATATGTTAGACGCTACTGCATTGTGATGTGTATGTTCCACTGATATGTGACACCGTGTGATGATATGTCTGGAGGTGTGTGTCGTTGTCCTCCTCCTGGCAGTACAACAAGTTTGAAATTGAGCAAACATATTTAGGGTAATTTTGAAAAAAACCCTCAGACATCCGAACCAAGATCTGGAACATCACAGTTCGCTTCAGGGTAAATAATGGTTTTATCTGAAACCTCACACACAAATATATATATTCTGTGAAGACAAGATTATCATACATCACCTTCCAATGGATGTGGTCAACATTGTATGGCATATTGATTGATGGTGTGTTGATAAAATCGACATTCCCGGCTGCTGTTTCAAATATCAGGGATCTTAGTCAGGGATTTGCCCAAAGCAGATGAATAATTTGAATAAACTGTCAAGCTCAATAATTAACTCTAACACGCCGTCAACCAAATCTGAAGTTCGAGGTGTACAGGCCCTCGTAGACCATGTTAATTGTCTGGGATCAGGATATGCGTCGCCACAGGTCGTCATCATGTTTTTCCACTACAAACTGATCAAAGACTTCCAGGACAGGAATAACAAAAGTATTAAAAAATTCTACTAGACGTCATACGCTACACATCAAAACCACGAGAGCTTCACGTTCAAATAAAAGAAGTGTACATTGAAATGACAAAACATCTTGTGAAATTTGGACTCAACATTTACACAAAGATTAGTATAGAAAAGGCAGGTGGCATTCGATAAAATTAAACCCTTTGATCTGATATAAGGATCTGTTTTACATATTGGATGTCTGTCTGATATCCTGAAGACTGTCATCCTCATATTGAGTGAGACCTTGCTGACACATTGAACTGGCGTCTCCGATCTTTCTAGACCCAGCAAGATGATAGGCAGGTTCTCGCACTGAATGAAGTGATGCTAATCTGTACGTGGTCATCGCACTGAATTCGGAATTCTTGCTGTATGCTTTAGACGCATATTTCTTTGATTTTGTACATACTGTTCTGTAGAAAACACGTCTGAATTTGGTACTGATGAGGGAGTATAAGATGAAATTGATAGAAGCATTTATCTGTATGAGAAAGTTGGTAAAATTTGCAGCAATCTTTAGGTCGTTGCTCATTGATTTAGACAGATTGACATCAGCCAGTTCAAGGTAGGTGCTATACATCATCAGGACAGCACCAGGAATCTGACATAACAGGAACACTAACACAACAGTGATGAGCATCTTCGTGATTTTCTGTTGCTCACCGCTGTGACGTGAGTTGGAAATGCGGTGAGGGGAGAGTGACGTCATACGGCGTCTGATTTCAACGGCTTTCACAACAGATGATATGAGAATTCCATTAAAAACGCAGAGCAACAGCAATGGTAGAAAAGTGAAAATTGTTACAAAAAACCAGTAGTATCCAATCTTGTAGCTATATGTCTTGGAAAAGTCCGTGTACATGACCTTCGGCACAGTGACGTTATTGTGTATTTCTTTAGTCACTCTCATTTCGAAAAACTCCGGCGTCGTACAGGCAATGGCCACCAAAGCCACTAGGATGATGATGACTTTTGCCCGCTGAACTGTGCACAACGTTCTTCCCCGCATGGGATGACAGACTCCGATGTAACGTTCCACGGTAAAGGTGACGGTAAGAAACACAGACACGTTAGCAGACATGTCGCTGAGAACACGACACACACGATACCAGTGCATATATGAAAGCATGTGGCGGAATGGTTCGTAGTGTTTGAAGCTGAGAGTTAAGCTGAACACAAGATAAAGAGAATCAAAAGCGGCGAGAGCTGTCAGATAGCAGTTGGTGGAGGACTTCATGCTACGTCTGGTGAGCACCATCATGTTGAGCACATTGCCCAGGAAGCCGAGGGCAACGACCACAGGCACACATAACTTCTGGATAATAGAACGGGTTATTTCCAAGGCTGTCTCGTTTGCTGGATCTGTGCTTTGAAGGATGTTAGCGGTGGCGTTGGCATCATCGTAATAGAGGAACTCGTCGACGAGTGATTTGTTGAAGGGAAGATGTGTTATATTATCCATTGGTACTGAAGCTGTGTGAAGCAGTTGTAATGATCAGACCAGCGCCTAGAACAGATACAGCAATTGGTAAATCTACATGAAAGATTTCGATATTCTTTCAGGTATATTGTTTTTATGATAACAAAACATGAACCATTCTAGACGGTGACAATATTTTTCGTTATTCCATTCTAAAAAGGTAGATACAGTGACAAGGACATTATTTGATGCTGAAATGGTCGAAAAAGAGCAATTGAGACTAGTTTGAACAATCTAAAGAATTGCAGGACAAGAGTAAATATAGTCTACATTGGTTTACAAAGTAGATGCTGAAATTAATGAAAATGACAGTAAGAACATCGGTGGACGCTTCATGATCGACGAATTTTAGAAAATCGTTTGTTTGTGGCTTATTTTAGATAACTAAAAATATACAAGTTTGAAGCTGAAACAGTAAACAATCACACAATCATACTCTCACATAACGATAGACGGTTCACGTATGGAAGTAATAACTTCTAAAAAGTGACATTGAAGCTCCCGATTGTTGTTTGACTACTTACGGCGTAGATGGTTGGTATGCAAGTTTACAGCTTTAGGAAACACTGCATATCCCCGGCTGTGACAAGCTACACTGATCTGCTCACAGATGGAAATGAACAAGAGAAGAATCTGTTAGAAGAGAAACAATTGTAATATCAATGAAATATTCATATTTATCATAGTTCGATTGGCATAAATTAACGCATACAAAGATGGCAATGGAAAACTGCAACAGAGAATACAATAGTGAAGTAGGGCAGACTGGGGAACAGATGTTTATTCATGTGTTTGTACGACGGTTAAGTCTGGCAGTCATTTTGAGGGTAAGGAATATCAACAATACTTTGATCGATACTACCATATCCTTAGTGTCGCCTTGAATTGTCATTCAAATATCAAAGAAATATATTGCCTTGGGCGTCTTGGTGCTTGTATTCTTAGTTCCAATCGGGACAAATATTGTATCAAACATGTTTTATCACCTTTGATCGAGTTATTAGTTCGGGTTAAAAGATAAATTCTACGTCAAATTAGTTCAACTGATTAATGTTTTTGACATACAAAGCAATTTTCTTATATGGGAAATGAAATGGGAAATGTAGTTTTATAATTAATAGCACATTACCATGATTTATTTAGATATTTTCATAGGCCACCTCACATCTAGACTTACTAATGGCCTTAACTGAATTTTTTAAACACTACGTGGCTGATCGAACATATAAAATAGGTCATATGAAGGTTGTTCAGATCTTTGATAGGCATCTGGGGTGAGTGAGTGCGTGAGCGACGGACACAGACAACGACGACCCATATATAACTGCAAACGCGAAAGCGTCGTTTTTTTGGTATATGGTCATTGGACGAAAAACGACTTCTTTGAACGACGCTTTGATGCTTGTTATTTCACACCGGAATTTTCTGCGATCGAGAAAACGATGTTATCAAACTCCTCCCTTTTTTGATTGTCATTGTCAATCAAGCAACATCATATACCGGTATTTCTTTTTCTAAGATTTCATTGGTCAGCTCTCGTGTGTCAGGATACAGGCCTGGGTTTGACGCAGTGCTCGTAGCGCTTAGCGGAAGTGCTAAATTCAACCCTTTTACGCATGCGGATTATTTAATGCCTTGTCCAAATTTTCCGGTCTGCGCATGCGCGATTTCGCGGATTGATTACTAGATTTAGTATCATCACTAGTAGATAGTAATTCATAAACACATGCTCATAGTATGGTCGGAATCGTACAGTCGACTGTGGTTTTGGAATCGGTTTTGTCGCTTTTATTTACAGCACGTAGGTGATCTAACACTGCTGTAAGCTGTAATGAGCATTTCATTTCTCATTACCTGACACAATGATAACGGTGAAAATGTCAGTCTAAATAATTGGGAATGCTCACCGCTCAGGAACGACTATAAGAAACGAACATAGAAAATGGATTCTTACTTTCGTAAACCTTGATGTATATTGCCAGAGCATATACTTTTTCGAATTGAGGAAACTACGTTTATTATAATGTTAAGACTCTTCCGCCCTCTTTTTGTCATGTAACCTGAGTATATTGACTCGGGATTCCCCTTTCTCATTTGAACGTGGATCTTACCTTCTACCTTAAACAGTGATCTGCGTAATATGATAATGTACTCGACTATGTTCTGTTATTGTAAGCAGATTACTTGTCAAATTCCGAGCTGATGGTGTCTATTCTATAGATATCTATAGGCTACCACCCACAGCGATCCAAACAGGGAGCCGAGTGCGTATTGTATGCGTATATAGTCATTTGGCAGTGTACCAGAATTCTGCATTGGAACGATTGTGTACTTACGTTTACTTTGAAGTCAGTTTACTTAGTTTTACAACTTATTATGTATACTTACAGAGAAAAAGTTAAGTGGTGTTAATGTTATGTTGAAAATAACAACATCATAATAGGTCATCCGTCTGATCATTGGTTTATTGAAACAGATTTTGTTTGTTTGTTGTTTAACGCCGCAATCAGCAATATTCCAGCTATATGATGGTGGTCTGTATATAATCGAGTCTGGACCAGACAATCCAGTGATTGACATCATGAGCATCGATCCATACAATGAGGATCGATGATCATATGCATTAAACAAATCAGCGAGCCTGATCACCCGATCCCGTTAGTCGCCTCTTACAACAAGCATAGTCGCCTTTTACGGCATTGTAACAAATCCTTTGACAAAACAACCAAGATTTTTGGTAACACGAGACAGAGCAACACGTCCTTCAAGAGAGGTGGTGTAACAACTCAGTCAATATTTTGTGGGGCCATTAGGACGGCAGCGCATCAAAGACATCAACTGATTGAAAACAGTCTGGGGCACGTCATCCAGAGATTGTCCCAACTGAGCTAAGTTCACCACCTGGTTCTGGCCCTGTCTTGGGCGTCATTACATCTCATCCCAGACATGTTCTATCGGGGAGGGGTCTGGAGAAACAGCCGGCCATGGCAGTAAAGTAATGTTATGCTGCCTCAAAAAGTCTGTTAGCACACGGGCAACGTTTGGGAGGACATTATCCTGCTGCAACGTGACGTTACGTCACTGCATTTGCACAAAGGGTAGAAAAACGATCTCGAACCATATCGTCCCGTAATATGCGCCATTCCAAATGCCATTTTCAATGATGATTTCACCCATGATTTGTGATGCCACCCCATACTATTACACTTCCACCTCAAGGGGCGGTCGGGTAGCCTAGTGGTTAAAGCGTTCGCTTGTCACCCCGAAGACCCGGGTTCGATTCCCGACATGGGTACAATGTGTGAAGCCCATTTCTGGTGTCCCCCGCCTTGATATTGCTGAATTAGGGCTAAAAGCGGCGTAAAACCATACTCACTCACTCACTTCCACCTAAAAATGACGACGTTCTCCTTAACGCCTGTATACTCTTGCACGACCATCAGTTCTGTCCAAACCTGGACTCAGATGTGATCAGTATAATATCCCACTTTACTGAACCTCAGGTGCTGTCTACACCAGTGACGTGGAAGCAAAACTGGGCGTATCACTGAACGTCGGGCGGATGTCATGCTCCCTCAACTGGTTGCGCACGGTTCTGCCACTGATTGGTCTCAACACATCAATTGTTCGAGCTGCTAATGTCGCAGTTTGGATTCGATTCCGAAGATGCAGCCGAATATGGTTGTCTTTTTGAAGGTACGTGACACATGGATGACTGGTCCGTGGCAAGTCATTAATGTTCCCCTGCTACAGGTTACGTTTCAAAAGAGATGTTTATGGTAATTAAACACTAATGACGTCTTCATATAAAATGGAAACCGCCAAATAAGGTTAGAAATAGAGAATAACTTGAAACCAAATGGTTTTGAAAGATACAGGTGAACTGAAAATGAATCTTTCTGAGACTGGTATCTGACAATAGATCCGATTGATATGATAAAATGTTCTTCGAGATTTAGAAGTGAATTTAAACATAACAATTCACCTAAGCCACATAAATATCCTAAATATATCGAATTGCACTTTCGGTACATCGGAAATGATCTTACTAAAATATATAACAGCGGAAAATGCATTCCATTTAATTTAGTAAAGTGACACAAACAGATAATCCAATGCAGACTATAAATCCTGAGACTCGCGTACAATACATTCGACATGAGAACAGGAACCAACTCAACCAGTGCGACAGAAGAGCCTTTTACGAGCATCTGCCTGGATGTAATTACAATAATTAGCCTCAGCAACAGCATTAAAGTCTTTCCTGTATTTTGGGATTCACTACAGGGACCACGGAAGTCGATTAAATTCACGTACCAATCTTTGGGTCGCCAATATTGAAGATGATATCGGGGACAGTACAGAGATATCAACTACACTGAAAACATAGTGGAACGGTGTATATATTAACATACATGTATGAGGGAAACACATAGAAGAGAATAGTATTCCTGAAAATGAATAACACATATCGCCCTAATACCGTATTTAGTTTTAAAAAAATCACGAAATGCGCTATCGGCTGCAGAACAAGATATTATGACTACAGTAGACAACGGTTAAAACGAACACGCTTACAACGAACTGACGGATATAACGAACTTACTTTTTGGTCCCGACTATTTGCTGTAGCTATGCTGTATGTATGCTTATAACGAACGACAGTTATAACGAACTAAAATTAGTAGTCCCGTTGAGTTCGTGAAGCGTAATCATTTTTTTCGAGATTCCCTGGGACAATTTACTTTTTACGATAAAATCCAAGGTTTGGAGGATCAGCAATCTCCTGGACGAAAAAGCAAGAAACTAATTATCATTATCTCATTATCTGTAGTATAATGAGTGTAATAATGATTTGACATCATCGAGTCATTGATGTCGCGTTTGACATCACATGCATTGTAAACTTCACCGCAAGATCCACACTCGTAACCGACACGTCACATGTTACTATTATGCAACTACAGGGTTTTGTTTTGAAATTGACTGCCCCTTTAAGAAACACGACCACACTTACATCCATCAACTCGAGCTCGAGGGTCATGTTTAAGATTGACGTGTTGGTTAAACGCTTGTCAGATTGTCTGAAAATCGAAGAGTTCGAATTTCCTTCGGTAAACCTGGCTCCAAGCTTTATATTATTTTCGATGTATCTTCCATGTAGATCAATATTCGCAGTTTGGATTTAGATTGGCTGTGGAAAAGATTCAAAGAAGAAGTTGACGTCCTGACGTTTCAATATTACAAGTTCATCAGTAGTGATGTGTTTCTTCGATGCCAAAAGATGGTATGTTTGTGTATGAACAGTGTATTGATAAAACCCGGTGACAATTCCATAGGCATGGTATCAACGATTACGAATATTTGATGAACACCTTTGCGAACAGATACTTATTAGCAGCATGGTACGCTATATTATGTATATTATCTGTATGTATATTATCGCAGTAGTTTATAATGGATCGTAATGACGTATGTTTACTATGTCATGCGCAAAATGATTCTAGTTTTTTATTCAATTTTTATGACACATCAGTTAGGATTGACCAACGCTGATTTTCTTTACCGAGTTCGGTAAACAAAGTACCTGTCATTGGCGAAT